CCCCCCCCTGAGAATCTAACAGGCATCTCCAGCATTTACCTACAAAGAGGCGAACCGTTTCAACACAGACACCAGAGGGGCAAACACAAAAGTCCAGAGAATACAAGTGACAGAGAGGAAAGAGATACATGGGTCAAACAGCACAAGCAAACCTTACAGTTACAGCCCAAGGACAATGAACAAAAGTTGAATATGAGAAGGATGATGGCGGATGTCATTTGGATTTGAACCAACTGCATTGATACATGGATTGTATAGATATACATAATTAATATTATGCAACAAGCATTAATCAATTAATCATTTAAAAAAGTAAACGCTTGTGAAAGCACAAAACAATTTTTTAACCTATGAAAACCCATTCACTGAATAATGAAGAAAAAGAAGAGAAAAGTTTTTTGGAAATGGATTCAAAATGAGCAAAAGAAAGTATGGATTTTCCATTTCAAGCATTGTACTAAAGCACACTCTGCAGAAAATGAAGTGTGTTTATATTCCCCAACTGCTCCAGAAAATGGGAGGAGGAAATTTTAAGTTTTAACAATTTTGTTTACAATTTTCCCACAAAATATGGGAATTAATGAGAGAAAAGGAAGTTTTAAAAAAAAGGGATAAAAAAGAATGTAATTCAATAAGAGCAGATCTATCACAGCAAATGTAGGCAGCAAGCTCTGCAATCAAGGAGAGCATCACTAAGAAAGGAAAAAAGAAGACAAACATAAAATGAAAAAATGAAAAAAGTTGTAAATGTAATATTTTACATTGATAAAACTAAGACCATTTAGGAGGGAAGCTGCTCCTTCACCCCTTGCCAGGGCCAACTTTGGCTGGGCGGGATATTTCGCAACAGAAAGATAGAGGTACCTGTTAAAACATCTTCCCCAAACAGTAATTGAAATCATGCCTTGAGGGTGTGAGGCAAAGAGCCTCATCATTATTACATCACAGATGCCTGTAAGACAAAAAAATAATAACAGGCAAATTGTTTTAAAAAATGAAATAACTGCAGCAAAGCTGCAAGAAGTAGAATTACTCAAGCAAATTATAAAGGAAACAAAAGGGGAAAAAGGGGGGAAAAATGTCTTAGGTACAGGCAAATGCTCCAAAGTACATCCAGTTAAAAAAACATTTCCATAAAAGTCAGTTGCATGCTTGCACTTAAGCCAGAAAGCTCTATCCCCATACCCTTACACAGGCTCTCCCTGACGAGGAGCTGTCACACAGAGGTATAAATTGGAACTTCAAGAAGAAGCAAAAAAAACCCAACCCATTAAACAAACAAAGCTGTTTGCAGGAAAACATGAAAATAAATTGTAACCCTTCTTTGATTCCAGCTTCTATAAAGAAGTCTTCACACTTAACATACTAGTTTAGAACTGAAATCTAGAGAAGGAAATATTTTTTAAAAAACTCTCAGTGACATCAAATAAAACATAACAGTGTAGTCTGTGAAATCTTACAACTGAGCAAAACCGAAACAAAAAAATCAGCAGTACTATAAAACATTCAGCTGTACAAAATTAGTAGAGGTGGATTTCTTTATTTGCCCTTTAATAGGATTTAAAGCATAGAAATTTGTGCAGGAGCCTCTATGTGTGTGTGTGTGTGTGTGTGTGTGTGTGTGTGTGTGTGTGTGTGTGTGTGAGTGTGTGTGTGTGTGTGAGTGTGTGTGTGCTTGTTTTTAATTTAAAGAATTATCTTCTCATGAGTCCTGAACACAATATAAACAACTCAGGATTCATTGTCATATTCAATACTCATAAAACAACCAACCAGCTGCAGAACTCCATATTCATAAACAAAGCAACAAATACGAATAGCCCCACATATTTTTGTTTTAAAATACAGTAAAAAGAAAAATATATCAAGCACTACAACAACAACAAAATAAACCTAAAAAATATAATTTAAAAAATCATATAAATAGATAGAACATTTACAAAATGGATTCAAATCTGAACACATACAGTGTTTCCCAAAGTGTTGCTGACTTGTTTTGCTGACTTGTTAACTGAGCTCTAAACACTACAAGGCAGGAAGCTGCTAACCCCGCCCCCCCCCCCCCCCAAAAAAAAAAAAAGGAAAAAGAAAAAAGGATTTTAAAAACCCCCCAAGAAAAAACAATAATTCATTCTGTTGAAATTGTTTGAATCTTCATCATAGGAGTTCATAACTTAAGAAAAGCCTTTCCGGTCATGAACCACATAATGCTACCAGTAAATTCAAGTGATAGCACCAATAGAAATATTACTCCGCACCACCGCCACAAGATGGAAAATTTTCTGTTAGAGAAAGCGATAGCACCACGAAGACACGTTGTAACTTGTGTGATTCTGTACCACAACTTAAATCAAAATAAATGTTACCTTTTGACAAAATTCATCACCAGTATAGAAACAAAACAAATATTTTACCTTTGACTAGAGATTAAACACAAGTGCCAGTTTTTTTTTAAAAAGCAAGGCAAATGTCTTTGACTACAGACACAACTCCAGCATCTCAATACAACAAACAAATTATGTTGTCCTTGAGAAGAAAAAAAAGATGCGTACTCTAAACAAAACAAATTAAACAATTGAACAGAGATTCAGGTCCACCATTCGAAATTTTTAGGCTTCGACTAAAGACTCATCACTAGTAGCTTAAAAACACCCCCAATAAATATGCTACCTTTGACCAGAGATTCAACTCCACAAATAATTGCAAAACAAATGTGTCACTTTCGACTAGAGAGATTTAAAATTGGTATTTTTCTAAGCAACAAAAATAAGTGATCTTCAATTTGAGATACAACTATACCCAAAAAAAAAAAAACAACTGAACTAATAAATACATAGGCTACCTTCTTCATTCTCACATTGCACCACAAAAGAACGAAACAAACTCAAACACATTTTCAAAAATAGGAAACAAAACCAAAAAACCAAAAACAAATTAAAACATTTTTTTTTAAAAGGGGTAAAAATTAAAGAGAGCAAAACAAAACTGGGAGCGTAAAACCCTCATCAGTTTTAAATACCCTTGTATCAAAAATGTTGAACTTCCCCCTGAAATTAAAAGTATTCCTTCAAAACCAAGGGAACAATAGGCATAATACAACTGTAATTCACACTACAGTCCAAAATTATCACAGTATTTGAATAAAAATATGACAAAATTGCACATTGAAGTATTATGATTAAAAGATGTATAAAATCTAGCGAGTATTGTTTTGGTGCTGTCAAAATTGTAAGGACCTAAATTTGGGCTACTTCACCTTGAAATACTTCCTAGGCTATGTCCCAAAGGAAGTCTATGTGGAGAATATTTTAGCTTTCAAAGTAATAACAAGGTCAGGAAAAAGTCAGAATGCTACCTGGAAGAACTTTCTAAAATGTGGATTTAATTCTCTACACCCCCTTCAACATAATTCGATCATTTAGGGGGCAGGCTATGACCCTGCCTGTCAAGGCAAACCTCTGCTGAAAGGGGAAACAATGTTCCTTCACAAAGACCAAGAGGCTCAATAAAAATTCTCCCCACACTGGAACTGAACTTGGGTCTTTTGTGTGTGACAGTGAAGTTCCTAACCACTACATCACACATACTGGTTAAGCTAACCAAAACAAGTTGAAAAAGTAAAAAAAAAACAACTTCATCAAGGCTTTCAACTGAAAAATGATGAGCTCAAAATTGTTATGGTACAAATAGTATTATGAGAAACTAAAATTCTCTTAAATCAGCATGCAAAATAATTTCTTTATCAACTTTATCCTCAAGGGAAATTTTGTGCACTCCTACCTATCTTTTCTTTCTGCAAAGTCAACTATCCCTGCTTTTTTTTTGCAACCATCTGCTGAGTAGAACGAGCTACAAGAGTCAATGCTCGTTCTAGAATATAGATTGTCAAGTGCATAGCGCCGCTGCGGAGCTGGAGTTTGCGCTATAAGAATGCTTTTTATTATTAATAATGATAGAATTAGAATACTATATTTCTGTAACTTCTCTTTCAAGCAACGCTTGTATAAATATTATACCAGAAATATGTTTTACTTCATAATTGTGTTCCACTGCAGCAAAAGTGACACTAAAGGAGAAAAATTCTTAAAATTAAGCATCACAACTGAACAACTAACAAAACGGAAATCAAACCAACTGTGAACTAAATTTTCTAAAGGAAATATTCCATGGAGAATCTTGCAAGCTAATAGATTCCATCACTGCAGGTGACTGAACACAAAAATGACTCATGTTGAGATCTCATCCCACATAAAAAGACACATTGACTAGAACTGAAGATAAAACTTAAAAACAGCACAGACTCATTATTGACTAGATCAAATCATCAACAACAAAAATTTTCAAATAAAAACTCGGAATGAAAAATTTAGCAAAAAATAGCCTGATAAGTTTTGTGCACAACAAAATTGTCAGCAGCTCTAGCAGGAAGGTCAGGAGCCCGTAAATATATGTGTTTGATTTCCTGACATCATAGATGCAATAATTATTTAGTAAAGTGTACAGTTTTTCTCGTTTGTGAAAGATTTTGCTTCCAGCAACCCCGCCCCCCCCAGGTACACATTTCCTAGTCAAGAGGGACAAAGACAGAACAATCCATCATTAGTCTTAGATAATGCTCCTTGTATTTAGTTCCAACTTGTTGTTTTGGCAAAGCCAGTCAGTTTATGAAGGTCATTTTCGTTCTAAAAACGAAAAGAAAAACAGCTGCCTTGCTCTACTGCTGCGGTAATAAAATCAAAATTGAAAAACCAATGAAACTTTTTGAGAAAAAAAAATGTGAGCCAAATAATGAGTTGGTCTTTCTTAAATATATAACAAATTAAAACAAAAAGAACATGAAAAAAGAAAAAAAGGGGGAAAAAAGGAAAATAAGAAAGACCACATAAACAAGAGAGTTCTCTTCGCCTTTAAAGAATACTTACATGTATTCGTTTGCTTTTAAAACACTTTTATAGTAATATAATTGTCTCATGTTTCTTGACAAATACCAGCTGTCAGTAAGAACCAATTTGAATTTTCACAACCTACACTTAAAAAAGAATGAAATCATGAAGAACTATGAATAACAAATAGTCCTCAATGCTTTCCCAAACTGCACAGCGTATATATAAATACAAAATAACAACTTAAAATTCTTTGCAACTGTAATGGCATCATCAATTAAAATGCATGAGATTCTCGGTTGGCAATCCACGGACTAAATTCAACCTCTCACTCATACGATAAATAAATAAATTCATTCTGCATCAATGTGACTTCGAACAAATACAGATGACAAGTACATGACAATATGTGACCACACTCCAAGCACATATCACAGCACCAAGCCACACACAGTATTAAAATCCCACCCCCACCCCCACGCCCCTCTCCCATATACTGGCACCCGAGAGAAGCCACACACAAACGAAAACAGGGACATCTTCCTTAAAATGTTGGGTAAAAAAGCCCACATCTCAAACTCTCAGAAAAAAATATTAATCAACATGCGAGACGGAGAATGGAAAAACACATCACACAAGAATAATCATGCACACAGTCGTCATTCTCAACAAAAAGATGCAAACAAAAATAACCCAAAATTCACCTTTTTACAAACAATTAAAAGACAGAAGAGACATACATGATTTGACTAAACGACAAAGAAATATATACTTTTTGTTTTTCGTCTGTTGGTTGGTATGAGCACACCCGTGATCTTCCAGCTGACTAAAACCCGCATTATACGTCATTGTGCCGTAAATACTTGTGAAACGCAGATGACTTACGTACATCAGTTCAAAGAACCGGGACATGTTTCTTTTGCTACTTGGTCGGGTCTTAGCTTTACACTCCTTTCCACCCAAAGTAGGCAGTGAAAGTGGTGGGAGCTCTGAGCAAACATTCTCTAATTGTACTGGAGGGAGAACCTTAGAGCCTCTCCAAATTATTTAGATACAAGAGACAGATTCAAATGCAAGCCACCAGTAGCCAAAGCTAGTATCTTACCCAATGAACCAACGGCCCACCAAGTAGGTGAGAAAATAGCTACATGGTAGTTGGCAAACAAAAACAAGACCAAAAAAAAAATTTTTTAAATAGCCTTCACTGGTCCATTGAATTGACCACTGCATGGCGAGGGGCTGCTAACTAGGAGCTGCGAGAAACCTTGTCCCTACCACGGGCTTTCCTCCAAAGACACAGCTTCACACCACAGTTTCAGGCTTGGATGCCATCTTGGCTTCTTCATACGCCATTTCAATCATCTCAAGGGCCTGGGAGAATAATATGCGAGGAAAATCAGCAATTTCTCAGAATGCAACAAAACAAAAAATGTTATCTACAAGATAAAGTTGATCTTTACCCGACCCCACCCCCCTCTAAAAATAATCTTCCTTTCTATTAAACAGTAGTTATTTATTCAATTATAAAATTTTTCTTTGATAAAAATATTAGATCCTATAAAAATCCACATGATACAGTTAAATCACACTGAGGCTAACTTTTCATATTGATGCTCCTTGTACTTAATTTAGTTGAGATTAGTTTTCGCACAATCATAAGATACTTAAATAACTATACAGAATCTGCTGAAACCAACAATGTTTAACAAATATGAGCCAAAATGATGAAATCAGGTGCTCGTCAAAATAATCAAATTAAATTTACCAGCATTACGATTTTTTAAATCCTCTGAAGGTTATTTGCCTGTCTGTTGATCATTCTTTTCTATATCACATTTTGGAAAAAAATGAAAACCATAAAAATATATCACCAAAGTACTTTTACGATCACCATACCTTTTGATTTTCAGCTTCAGTCTTATCTTTCTGCTCATAGTGAACCTTCTTCAGCACTTCTACTTGTCTTGCATGCTTCACTGCCATCCTCTTTCGTTCCTCAATGAATTTCTTTGTGTTGTTTTCATTCAACTCGCGGATGCGCCTGAGGACAAGGGATAAAATCCAAACACTGTTATACATATACACATTAAATACAAACACTGTTATACATAATCCATGAAACTAAAAGTATCAAGATAAGTAATTTTTAATTTAAAATACTTATCAGTTATTCAGTTTGGGCAGTATGTTGTAAATCAGTTTCCAGCTAGATACAGTTCAGTACAGTCTGTGAAGTGGTGGTTGCCTCTTCCTTTGCATTTACATTTATACCTTCGCCTTGCATGAAAAATACACATGCCGCATAAAGATCACCCACATTTTGAATATAAATATTTTTAAAAGATAACAACCAGATTTTAGCCTTCCATATAAAACCTGCCTCCTCTCTACACTTCTATTAAAGTCGTCATGTTGCCCCCAACAAATGTGTGAGATCTTTATGCCTCACCCTGGACTTGAATTTTTATAAAAAATAAAATAATAAATAAATTACACTTTTATTTGTCCCAGAAGGGCACTTTGTTTTACAATGGCAAACATACATACATAAATACATAATTATAAATACGTACATACATAAATACATACATGCAGAAATACATACATAAATACACACTATTACACAAATACAGAACTGTTTACAAACAATGCCACTGTTGGTCGCCACTGTGCAGCGCCCTGTAGTTTGAGCTAGAGTTGTCGTGTCTTGCTCAAGGACACACTCCAGTGACCACCCATCTGATCCCTGTGTCACCGACACTTGCTTGACATTGCTTGAGTCAAAACTCACTACTCACTTAGCCACTGGAGCCCCCTGATGTGAGAGACGATAAATTCAACCAGCACTTCCTCTTGCATACGAAAGACTGAAGTTCAATTTTCACTCTGGACAAGACATTCAATCGAGTATAATATATCCAGCTTCCAGCTGGAATGTGTGACACGATTATCACTTCAACTAGCGTAATGATCTAAATGGTAGTCATGGTGATAGAAGAACTGTATAATAACAAAAACACAGGTCCGGAGCTAGACAGTAAAGGTACTCTAGACCCGTACTTCATTATCTGACACTACTATTTTATACTGTTCTTACTGAAATTGCTGTAAACTTATTACCTTTAGAGTGGCTGTAGCTCCTGTTGGAGCACACCATGTGAACAAATCTTTAATAGGTGCTCGGGTGTGGTTTGTTTCTTCTTTCCTATCAAACATCTATCGTCTTTATTTCCCCTCCTTTTTTTGTGTTTTTTACTCTCTTGTAACACATCTATTCTTCAGCACTTACATGACCATTTTGTGTGGCAAGTGCCTTAAAACACTTACTAAAACTAAAAACCCACAAACCACTCTGGGGATAGTGGCACACGTTCAAGCAATGTGAAAGTACCTGACAAATCAAAACATAAGTTCTAAGCGAACTACCAAAAAGACTCACCTTTCCCTTTCAGCTTTGTTTTTAATACTTTTATCATTCATGACAGTCTTGGTTGAGTCCATGGAGTGCTTCGCTTGATTAGCCTTTAGCTCTTTCTCCTCTCTGAAATCATAAAATCACCACTCAGTACCAAAAAATAACAAAATATCTTTTAAGCAAAAATTGAAATACTCCTGTAAAACCTCACGGATATACAGACTATCTTTGGGAACACAAATTAATAGTTACTCGTTGGCTGCTGACGCTGAGTTAACACATAATCTGACAGGCACAAACACATAAGCCTTTTGAAACTCTGAGGAAAAGTACATCATCAAAATGCATTAGTTACTAAATCATTCTTTCTCATGTATCAGTACACGACACATTTAAGGAGGAGGAGGAGGAGGAGGAGGAGGAGGAGGAGGAGGAGGAACAAGAACAAGAACAAAAAGAACAAGAACAATAATAAAAAGAAGACATACTCATATAACGGACACTCCCAACCTACTAAGCTTTGAAATCAAGTATGCATAATGAACCAAATCAAAAATCCCAAAGACGTGACGTGACACCCACACACACCCCACCACCAACATACCTCTCCTGCTTGGCCTCGAGTTCTGCCATCTGCTCCCTCTGCGCATCGTCCAACAGTTTGGACAACGTCTCATTCTGCTGCACGGCGTGCTCCTTCCACAGCTCGTGTTCCTCCATCATCTGACGCACAACCATGTCGGACCACTCTTTGGTCTGGACTACAACCAGCTCCTTCACCTGAGACATCACAGAACAAAAAGTTCATCATCATCATCAGTATTATCAGCATCATCATAATTAATATCATCCAATGATCAATCAGAAAGAGAAAACGGAAGTGGATGGGATACACCTTGAAAAAAATGAAAACAAACATTACCTACCAAGACTTAAGCTGATGGAATCCACAAAGAAAGAAAAAGAAAGAGAGGCCTAAAAGTACTTAGAGGCAGGACTTAGAGTCAGACTTTAAGGAGAAGGGATACAGCTAAACAGACGTAAAGACCATAACCCAGAACAGAGGTACATAGAGAGCTCTTGTTGGTGACCACTATTGCGGCATGGGGTGATAAAGCATCATCATCTTCATCATCACCCAATGATTTGAAAAGACTGAAAAATGTATTCCGCTACCTTTCAATGCAAGAAAATAAAGAAAGACAGAAACAAAACAGGGAATAAAAAATTGGATCTACACGTTGTGGTATACTGTAATGTTATAAAGCACTTGTAGAGTAAAAACTTTAAAAACTGAAAAGAGCAATAACGTGACTTCTCCCCCCCCCTAGACTTCATAATAAAAACGTGTAAAAGATCACAATGAAGAAAGAAGAAAGATTCGCTCCTCACCTTGGACTTGTGGTCACTGACCAGGTTGAGAACCTTGCCCTCCGACTGCGACTTGAGGTCAGTACTGCTGTCCCTGAGGAAACACGAGACTTGAATTTCTCCACTGCTTCACACAACCTGCACTCTGCTCACCAATCCTTTTTCTAACCCTGCGGCATACTCTATCCGAGTCAAATCCTTCAAAGACAGCTGAGAAATCAATTTACTTAACACTTTGCCATCATATTTTGGGAAAATCCAAAGAAACGTGGTGGTAAACATCACCAATTGGCGAAATGAGGTGGCAAAGTGTTAAGACATTAATTACGCGATTTATCTTTGCCAGATATTTAACATCATAGCTTCATTTTTATCACATGACCTGTAGGTGCATAAAGTATTTCTATCAAAGTATGTGATAGGAAAAACAAATATGCGGCTATTAGTATTTCTTAGCCATATGGACTGTTGCCCCCTTTTCTCAGAACATATACCTTGGCATGAAGTAGTGAAAATCTAAAAGTTGACCATAAGTGCAAAGCTCATGCAAGGCTCGTTTCCACCTGGAACCGTAATAGGTATCCAAAGACTATATTTCCTCGGTGTTATTCCAAAAAAGTCCAAGTCAGCTTACAGAGGTTTCAAGGTAAAGCAATTATTCAGATAAAGACTTCATAGGGCATTTTATAACACAGATCAATTCTGTTTCATTATCTCTTGAATTGTAACTGAAAATTTTTGAGAGCCCGTTTCATGGTTCTGAACTTGGGTGAACACTATTTCTTTAATTTTCTCAAAACTTCTAAAAGTGATAGTCACTTGTGGATATGATTGGAGACGACAATATTCTCATAATTTTCCATACCATTAACTCTTTTTATGCCAAGATTTATCAGCTTCTAGTTAAAAGGTATAAAGAAAAACAACAATATAAAGGTGCCAGGTACGGAAAGAGTTAAAGAACAACACATCTCTCAGCTCACTTGTTCTTTTTTAATTTCTTCTCCATGGACTTCTCTGTGGCTGACTTTTCCTTATCATGGGAGGCAACCAGTTTATCCACCACCGTGCAGTGTGCTCGTTGCATCATCGACCGCTCCTTCTGATGTCTGCGTTTCAACAGCTCCAAATCCTTGGGCTGTCTGCGAAGCAACTTGAAGTAGACTTTCTCAGACATAAGTTTCTTTCTAGTGATTGGCTCAAACAGCATTTCCTCTGGGCCTGAAAGTGTTTATTAGGTCAATCTTTTAAAAAGAGAGGCACAGTGACATGAAAACAGTTATTCGCTGCTTGAAAATAGCCAGGTAAAAAGACAGAAATAGTGGGAAAGCAGAATTAGAGGGAACAAAAAGAAATAAGACCTACCAGTGCCAAACTGTCGGCATTGCTGACCACTTATGAGGCCACAGCACCAGGAGAGAGAGAGAGAGAGAGAGAGAGAGAGAGAGAGAGAGAGAGAGAGAGAGAGAGAAAGAGAGAAAGAGAGAGAAAGAGAGAGAGAGAGAGAGAGAGAGAGAGAGAGAGAGAGAGAGAGAGAGAGAGAGAGAGAGAGAGAGAGAGAGAGAGAAGCTGCCCTCCCCCCCCCCCTTTCCAAAACCATCCCTAGAAAAAAAAACCCACTGCAAAATATCTATTACAAACCTGTAAGTATTATAAAAAAGGACGCAAAAACTTTCTTCAGACGTGTCCTGACAATAGAACCAAACAAAATGTCATTTGTGAGGTATTATTTTGTGTAAGAGCTTGATTGCATTAGCAACACAATTTAAGTTCCGAAAACAGGGAATTTAAAAAAAGAGTAAAAAGCAACAAACAGTATCAATCAGTACCTTTTTTCTCCGTGGCATTAGTCTGAAGCTGACTCATACTGTTGGTGGAAGTGGTCATCTGTCCGTTGGACGGCTTCGATGTCTTGGCTTGCGTCCGGCCACTGGTGCTGCTACTGTTGCTGACCACCGGCACATCCGAGATATCCTTCTCGTCAATGCCCATGTCTTTCATCGCCTTCTCACGTTTCTCCGCTTGTGACATGGCCTGGATGGGGGCAGACAGTGCATCCACAAAATCTGAAATAGATGAGAATAGAACAGGTATTAACCCTTTGAGCCCTATCCACCGGTACACCGGTGGTGTGTAAAATAGCCCGCTTGCCTAGCCACCGGTACACCGGTGAGCAAGACCCTATCCTCAAACCGGCCTGCTAGGGACAAAATGCACAAGGAAAGAGTAGTTACTACACTATTGTTATTGATTATATTTTGAAGATCTTTCTGAATTATATACCGGTAATGACAATGGCTACCCAGAGTGGGATATATACGGAATGTAATTCTGACAATGATGTGAATGAAGGCGTGAACCCCACAGGAGCTCAAGCAGAGGGGCAAGGTAGCCTATGGAGGTCAGTGCTCAAAGGGTTAAAATGGAACCGCTCTGATGCCCATTATAACCACTTGGGCTATTAAATCTTTTACAAATAGACTGGGTATTTGGAATGCTCATTTTAAACAATGTAAGGATTTTTATCTTTATGAAGCCAAGCACATTTCTCAGCAGGCACCACAATTACACTTCTGCATACAAAATGTCCACTTCACTGAGCAGTGGAGTGAATCTAGCAGACAACAAAAGGGAGCCTGGGCACATTTTTCATGTTGAAATAGGGGACCTGGGCTTTAACATCTCATCTCCAGCAAGTCGCTCCTAGCAGTTCGTGGTACTGCTGTGCAGGTGAGCCGCTTGGGCATATTCCTTTACAACATCAACATCAAATTACTTTTTCGCAATTGTTGAAAACAGGTCTCTTATACAAGGAGATCATTCATTAGATGAAGACCTATCAAAATTGGTTCACTTGTTTGATTTAATTACCAATTTAGTGACATATAAGTCACGTTTAGATTTCATACCAAAAGAGGGCCTTAGCATAGTGGGTTTACCCATCTCGGAGATAAAGTGGCAAGACAGTCAGCCAAGACCTCATCCCTAGAAAAGCTGTTCTTCATGTGTTTGTATTTCTTTCAATATTGGTGGTATTTCAAATTGTTTAGCTCCAAAATAACACAGGTTTCTGTATAAAAAGACAGTATACAGATCAGCTCCGCCCCTCATTGTGTCCTTGGGAAAGGCACTTAACACAAGTTTTCCTCATTTCACCCAATAAAAGGAGAAAAACCATGCGAGTTTGATAGTGTTTAAGCACTTAATTGACTGCTTGCCCTGTATGATTCCTGGGAAGCCGAGAATGTTTTTGAGTATATTAGTGTCTGCTGGGGTAATAGTGGTAGCAAAACACAAAAAGCATGATGTTCATTAACATGCGCTATATAAATGCAATCGTTATAGTCATTAAAATCATTATTATTTTATTATTATTATTATTATCTTTATTCAAAATTATTCTTAGCTCACCTGGCTGTACTTACTTCATACAATCGACAGTGTTGACAAAATATATCTCTTTAATTCTGACAACAACAAATCTTACCTCCAAATTCCACGGGAACATACGTCTTTAGAATTATTCTACAAAATACTGTGGGCAGGGATAAGGGAAAGTTGCCTTCTGTTCTCAGAGATATATGCCGATAGCCTGTAATAGAAAGAGACACATCATGGTTGAGATCTGTCAACGCTTGTACCACAATTGATCTAAAGTTATCAAGCTCTTTTATAAAAAAAATAACACTGAGTAAGACTGAAGAGTAGAGTTTCACTGAGAAATTTAAAAAACTGTGTCCAAATACGTCTGCTATTCAATTTTGTCATAAACATACACACACAAAAAGAACTGCAGTCAGTCAGCAGGACAACATTTCATATGCAACACATTAGGACAATGGCAGCACTGATAAGAAATAAATATGGCGAACCACACCAGATCACCAATCAACAATTCAATTACAAAAAAATACATCACATTGTAATCTATAGTACATCTATTTCCAAGCATGCTGTATGAAAGTCATTATAGACTGATCATCATGAATTGATCTCTATCAATGAAACAACCCCAACCCTCTCCTTTAAAGAAACTATCTGAGATTAAGACAATATTTCATAGTACCTGCTTGAAGTCCATCTAGGGGCAATATTCTCTGGCCTATTAGTTTGCCAGTCTCTTCAAACACAGCAATACGAAGCACAGCCAGCTCTGGTAGGACAACCTGTGAAAACACAAACAGACAGACATGTTGTGCAAAGGTTCCAATTACTGAGAGACGACAGAGGGAAGGCCAAAAAAACAGACTGGAGATTGACTGTAAATTTGTGTAACACTAACACTCCCATCAACACAATAAAGTTGATCTAATCTTACCCAATTCAGATTATAAAAGAGGAAGGCCGCTTTGTCAGGGTCAATCCAGGCCAGGTGTGAAACAACATTCCAGCAGTTAGGTGGAGATACTTGATAGAATAACTTCACAAAATTGGCAGAGAGCCTTACAATTTCACTACAGTAACCAGTCCCGTCAGTGATTAGGCCTACATTATAAGTAACAAGAAAAATGAGCAAGCTACATCAGAGCACCCAAACAGATGAATGAGCTATTAGTTGTAGTTCAAATAACGAGAGCAATATTCATGCATGATAGCCATTTAGAGCAGGAAATAGGAATCTAATACACATCCAAAAAACAACCGAGGGAAAGACAAGAAGTAGGATCTATCAGCGGTGCCTTCCAACCGCCCACACAAATTATTAGCCACCAATGAACTGATGTTACCTTTCTGAAGACAAAAGGTTCCTCATTGTAGATGGGATTCAGCCCATTGTTGGGCACCACTCTGGTACGGAACTCTCTCCGGATTGTGTCGGTAGGCAGGCCGTACATGTCCACTTCTACGTACGTCCCAACTTTCTTATCCGACAAGAACTGACCCGATATCACCTGTGGAAGTTATTTCAAAAGAGAAAAATCGTCACTTCTCTCTCCTTCTCCTTTCTTTCTCTCCTTATTAGATTTCATTGATTGTCAACTGCTGTCCCTAAAATTTAATGTGAGCTTGGCTTTTATTTTTTTTAAAAAGATTTTTCCCTACGACAAAAACAACTTTGTGCCATGGAGGGTTGCTCCACATAACAACCACTCAACCACAGAGGAATTTATTCATGCCCACAGGTGCAAAAAAAAATCTGAAACAATTTAATTCCATTTTAATTCTGTGCTCTCCTGCCAGAGCTACAGAGCAGTTTACTACTAAAGTTCCTTTGATCTTAAGAGCAGCTAATACTTTACAACTATTTTGAGTGGTTATATTCAGAAGATCTAATGAAAACACAAGGCTTTCAATTATCTTTTCTTACTCTCTCTCTCTATATATATATTAATGTATTTATCTATTTATGTATTTATTCATGACACCTAAACAATCCGTTTACCTGGACTGAGCAGTGAGCAGCAATCACACCGTCCACAGGACTTTCAGAGAAGGGGTCAAAGGTACGGTCTGGACGTCGCATGAAGTCAGGCTTCAACAAGTACCTAATGAGAACCAAGAACATTACACACATGAGGTCAGGCTTCAATCACTATTATTAATATAAACAAATATTATAATTATTATCATTTTTATTATCATCGTCATTATTATCATTATTATTATTATTATCATCATCATCATTATAATCATTACAGTTATTCACTACCAGCAGCCACTTACTAAATGTTGCCACGGTTACACTGGAAAGGGAGTAAAAGCCAAGCTTACCCACAGTTGCCGTTGTATTCGAATTTGCCTTGATTAAGCTGCATATTGATATCCGCTGTCTGGAAGTTCAGGGCAACCATCTGGCATCCGGCATTCCAGAAAATCTGGGGAGTAGCAGGCACAATGTCAGTTTCTCTTTAAGTTCAGTGTCTACCAAAGAAGAAAAAGGGTTATATGGGCACTTCCATTACCTCAGTTGGTATCATGCTGAACTACAAGGCGGATAACCCTGGCTTGAATCTTTGAAGGGGCATTCTTGAACTTGGATTTTTTTGTGGGGTTTGGTTCTTTGGGTTGCTTTTTTTTTTTGGGGGGGGGGGGGGTGGTCAAGACTTTCCACTAATCTGGCTTGATCTCATTGGAGATAGATGTTAAATTTGGAAGTTCATCCTCATAACTGACCTTATAGTGTTGAAAAGGGCATGACAAGTCACATGATCTCAACCTCTTACAGCTCATTGTCAGTTCAAATTAGTTCAATACTTACCCCAGGACCTTGGTTATTTTTAGTTTTAGTAAGAGTTTTATGGCAATTGCAACACAAATAAGTCATTTAAGACAGTAACCCACAAAGAAAAGAAAAGAGAGATAGGGACGATAGACTGTTTGATAGGAAAGAAAAAGCAAACCACACCACAGCTCCTGTCAACCACCCCATCACCATAACAAGATTTCTACCAAAAATACACATGGAGGGTTTTTTTTTTTTAATTTAAGAAAACTGAATAAACCTGTAACCTATTAGTGTGGAGCCATGTCATACACAGCCTTATAGCTTAGTCTAAAGTAAAAAGTCCCCCCACTTGAGCTGAAACCTTGAGTGTCCACAAGTTAGTCCCATAACCGAGTCACAGTACTGGGCAAATAAAAAGAAGAAAAAAAAATGTTCAGTGAATACAACTTATGTTCTACCAACAGCTCTTTCTGATTTTACACTCTCACTTTCCATCCAAATACACATTCTTCTGCAAATGTTGAATTTTTCTCATTCTTAAAGTCACCATTTCAAATAACCTTAGTGTTGAAAGGCATGTTAATCTCCTACATTTTGGCTGCAGTACTTTTTTTCTTTATAATTTTTTTTTTTTTTCTGGCAGAAGTATTCACATTTTGCCTATCTTAATCAGTAAAAAAAAAACCCCACAGAACAGACGATGTTTACTTTTGCCTATCTTCACCAGTTAAAATGCCTGGGAACCGAAGATGCCTAATACATTTTCTTTCCTGTCTTTATCAGTAAGAGACATTACAGAACAAAGACATCACATTACCCACCTGTGGTAAGAAGTTGCTGGAGTCCACCCGTCCACCTCTGGGGTAGATTCTGCTCATCTGCCGCTTGTTATAACTGACTTGGTTAAGGCTTATAGCAAAATACTTTGGAAAGACTAAGGGAAACTTCTAGCCCATCCCCTGATGTGAAATTAATATTCCTTAAAAAAGTATTTTAATATAATGACCTCTGAGAAGCTCCCCCTTTTGCAAATATTTTCCAACAGACACAAAATCAGAGTTTGTTCATTTCTACTCCATTACGCCTGACTTACAAAACCTCATCTTACTTGACTCTGCTGAAAATACAAACTCACGCTCTAGTTGACACCTTCTTTTGAGGTCTCATATAGTCCTTCAAATAATACTTCCTCGTCCTATCCAATTATAAGATTTTTTTAAATGACTGGAAAAAAAAACGTTTTACATTACACAGCAACAATGCTTCTTGTGACTTTTTAAAAAAGTGACCAGTACAAACACAAGTTTTACAACTACAATTCTTTCCTAAGAGCGTACTCATTTCCCAATCTTCTCTTCTCTCCCACTTTGAATCTGTTGCCTTCTCAATACAAATTACATACTCAATGTCTCTATTCTAAAAAAAGCAAACATAAAGTGCTCTGACAACATCAGTGCTTCCATAGAAAATACTGTACAACACACACACACACAAATTAAATGTATTTTCTCATGCAGAAATCAAGAAAACTACAAACAGGACATCCAACCTATCTTGTCCACTGTTTTGTCAGGATTAACATCCACGACAATTTTGACAATAAAACATCTATATGGGCAAATTAGTGATGCGGTTACAAGGCACATCAACATTGGGAAAAGCTACATCTACAACACTTGGGAGCATGCAAATTATGTTTACAGTCACACAGCAGCCCGTGCTGGACTACAGAGCAGAGGACTTGGTTCCGAATCACCAGTAGTCCATTCTTGAGTATGGTCGCTTTGCTTTTAGAAAGTTCCTGGTAACATCTCAATCCGTAACAACCAGAGGTGTATTAGTGTAATTCGTTCAACTTCAAATTCAGGATTTGATAAGAAACTTTAAAAAGATACATCATCAAAGCGCCCAAACTTTAAAAACATAAGTACACCTGTTTAACCTGCAGCAGCCACAAAGGTTTACTTTGTACAACCCCTATCCACAAGTAAGTTGGAATTCAATTTTCTAAAGAAAAATTCACAATTCTGATGAATATGAATTTTAGATGCCAGAATTTCTAGTCATTTGAAGAAGCAAAGATTCTGATCTCTTCTTTAACTAAAAAATAATATACCATATACCAAATAATTTAATGGATATTACAAATGTTTTACATCCCTAATAACAAAATTTAAGTAACTTAAGAAGTAGGGGTGCTTGAACTCTGCCTGTCAGGAACAACCCTGGCTGAGTGGGATACAACAATGTACCACAAAGAGGACAAGGATACTCCACAAAGTCTATGCACCTGTGTTTGACCATCTGATACATTGTGCTCTCGCTAAATGAGGACATGTGGTAGTGAATGCAGGCCTCTGTTCGCAAGGGTCAAGGTAATCCATGATGCCATTAGTGGCCAGTGGTCAAGTGCCAGGATTGGGGGGGGGGGGGGGGAATTAAGAACACGACAGGTGTGAGCATACAACATCAAATAAACAAACAACCAAAAAAAACCGTATCATGCCACGTGAAACACATACAATACTGATGACAAACTGACAATGCATAGCGCAAGTATGGACAAGGTTCCACATCTCCTTTATAATCATCCGAGAGCTTTGACCTTAAAAAGAAACTGCGAAGTTTTAACATAGTTCACAAGTTCTTTGTTTGTTTGTTTGTTTTAGTAAGCGCTTTACTGCGCTTGCAACACAATTAGGTTAAATAAGTGCTGAAGATTAGAGATGTTACTAGACAATAACAAAAAATACAAAGAAGAAGGAGTAGAGATTGGACAATAGATGCTAGGTGGGAAAGAAGGAGCAAACCAAACCAGAGTGCTCCCCAACCATCCTCGTTAACAAGCTCAAACAAGAGCATGTAATATGTCTATTAAAAACACAAGTACAACAAGACAGCATGATAAAATCTTCTACTTGGTGTATGAAGTCATAGAGCAGATGACAGATAGGCAGTGATAGAGAGGTGTAGGGAAAGATAATTTGCTCTATTTCACTGTCTCCCTGCAGAAATGATTTAAGTCCAAACCTTAACAAACAAAAGAGTTTACGCAGACATTCAAAAGGATTAGATCAAACAAAAGTGAAGACATCGATACCATTCCCCGACCTGCACAATTTATAATTCAACTTGACTATGAATTATATATTTGTAGAAGTAATATGCTCCTGTATCAACATTATTTACATCATTTCGAAGGTGGCGGCTTCAACCCTGCCTGTCAGGGCCATCATGGGCTAAGAGAGATACAACTTTCCAGCAGACAGACCGAGATACTTGACAAAAAACCTCCCCATAAGGAAATTGAACTCATGCATGTAACAGCAAATTGCCAAACACTAACAGTTACACTACTAACACCGTAACTTGACTCCATAAACCTGCAGAAATAAGTGATTGCTTTCATAACCACTTGTCATCTGACAACATTGTGATCTGCAACAACTAAAGTGAGCTCATAATAACACTTGAGCAGATTATAATCAGATAGCATTGTGTGGCCCCTGCTCTTTCAAAAGAAACAATGCACAACGGTCTGCTTTATTTTACTTTACTTTTCTGATTCAGTAGTCCGTACAATGGTCTAAAGAGTCTGTTCAACAAAGTATCTTCACTACTACAGGTAGACCTAAGTTACCACCTTGTTATGCCATGGAAGAAGAACCAGTCTCAGTACAGCTTTACAGCAAAACACCAATCAAAAGCACTGGCAAGTACACAGTATGAATACAAATATTTAGATTTTCCGAATGTAAAATACAAAGATATAAGATATATACATAATTGGAGAAAAAAAGAATAAATTCGCAACAGATCTTTTATAACACAATAATTATCACTCCAGAAAACAGAAATGAGTGGCCAAAATAATGTACTTAGCCTACAAACATAAGCTCATAGAACCTTGGTTTATCCTTTACTAAAGTATATACAAAGATACAAAGTTTTCCCAGCAATAAAAATGACTAAAAGAACTAAGTCTTCCCCCAGTAGCTTTTACGATACCACTTATGGCTAGCAACGTCATGCCCAAGGCAGGTGTTAATACAGGACAAAATGAAAATGTGATTCAACACCCACAGCAATAAGTACCAACCAACGTTACTTTTGTAAAGTTGTATTTATTTTTCCTCTGTGATAAAAATTGCTGTACCGTTCAATCTTTTGATATAAAAGCAAAAGTTATGTCTATGAGACAACACATTAATGAAACATGGTGACTGATATGAAGGCTCTGAAGATATATTGTGCAAAGGTCCTGGTAAAGGGTGAAGAGAAGCATAAAAGCAGATCTGTACTGTGAGTTCCATATCATTCTGTGAAAAAGTCGGGTGACAAGTCAAGTAGCAGGTTACACAGCAAATCAAAACACTAATAGACAATTTCAAGGAAGAGCTAAATCCTTTGTATTGTTCGTTTGAGTAAAGAGAAGCACAGTTTCACAATAGAGGTCATTCAGAGCTGGGCAAATAATTGAGAAAACAGACATAATCTGCAGGAGGGAAAGAATAATAGAAGGAAACAACAGTGGGGCCTTCCAACCAGCTGCAGAAGAAAGAAGATTGGACTATAGAACTGAAACGAAACAGAAGGAGCAGGCAACATCAGAGCTCCAATCAACACCCCATACGGCAGACAGAAGTAACGGAGGGGCAGGAATGAGGGGTTGTTTTGTTTTGTTCAGGTTGAGTAAGAGTTTTACGACACTTGCAACACAAACAGGTCACATAAGTGCTGAAGAATAGAGTTGATATTTACAAAGAAAAGGTACCATGGAGAAAAAAAGATGATGTAGATGTTTGATAGGAAAGAATGATCAAACCACACCAAAGCACCTTCCAGCAACCCACCGCAAGAAAGAAAGAAAAATTGTCAGTAGTAGCCTTAAAGTGTCCAAGCCAGTGCCTAAGTACGAATTGCATGCTACATCATAGCATAAATACCTAGAACACACCCAAGGAAGTCTACTACATCTGGTTACTGGCGTGCTGGACTGCATTATAAACAGAGATGATAGAGAGTGAATGAACAGCATTACCATGAATAAAATATTAATATGTTGGTGGCAAACTCAAGCTGAAGCAACATGAAAACAATCCATTGAACACATTACTTTACAACTCCCATGAACATAGACAAGAAGACTGAGCCTAGTTTTCCACTACCACAACAAGGAACTTAAGGAGCAGATACGAAAAAAGGGTTGTTTTGAGTTGATTTGCCACCTCTTACAAGGTGGAATTCAATTATCTAAGCAGGGGAAAATGTGATCCTGACAGAGTGCCGACTTATGAAAGAAAAACACAAAAGATGTTGAGTAATGACTTTTCAATAGGCAAATCAATCTAAGAAAACATTCTAAAAGCTCCCAAATCATTTCTAATACAGTAGTTTTTACTTTAAAACAGAATCGTCACGTGCCAGATCATAAACAGAGATCAGCAATCAATATATGCCATTCCTTTCTCTGCTTGGATGCTCAAAAAAAACAAAAAACATTCCTCTCCTGTCTTTCCCCATTACCTATCTGTTCACGTTTTCCAAGTAAGTAACTTTGGATCTACCCCTGCCTCATTTTCCTTCCATTTTCCCAATGAGAGCAAGATGTTCAAGGCTTTCAATTCCATTCAAGTGTTCTAGAAACTGAATTAATCTCTTCCTAAGTTTTAAAAAACAGATTAATTTCTGTTTCTTCAATTCTATTTTTCATGTCTTCAGTAATTGCCCAGCATTTGCAGAATACAAATGTGCAGTTATGAAACAAACAGCAAAAACAATAAACAGTGACAATGCATGCAACAGTTATCTCATAAGCAAACAAACACCATGAGAACTAAAATGGGCTTAGTATGATGTTGCAACAAACACTCATCCTGTACACACACACATACATAAAGGGTGATTCTTGCATGCTTTTGCAGCAAAAAAGAATACTTGACAAATTCAAGAGCCTGCGTTTTGAGGTATCCCAAGCCAGTGTTTTCATTGAAGGAACTCATATGATAGTGGATGTTTCTTTCTGAAATAACACAAGGGCACTAGCAGCTCAGAACACATCCTTTCAGAAAGAGCAAAGAAAAAAGGCAAAAAAAGAACCAAAATTTTAACTGACCCCATACATACAAAACAGTAAAACTTTAAAAACAAAACAAAAAAACATGAGATACAAAAATATATAATTAACAAATGATTGGTCACTTCCCTACATTAAAAAAAATTGTGATAACAAATAAAAAAGTCCTTCCCAACAAAATAGAACAAAAATGGTATTAACAAATACCTGACCTCTTCCCTAAACAAGAAGGGAGCACCCCTTCAACATAAGAGTTTGATCATTTAGGAGGTGGGCTTCAACCCAGTCTGTCAGGGCCAACCCGGCCTGAGAGGTGTACAAATATCCCAGCAGAAAGACGGGAGATAATTAATTAAAATTCCCCCTACATAGGAACCATACTCTAGTCTTCTGCATGCAACGGAAAAATGCCTAATTTCTACACCACAGACGCTTGTGCAATTTTCTAAGCCATTCCCATAAAATTACAAAGGATATCTGATTTCAAGCATATGGTTTTTTTAAAAACAGACAAACGAATCAATCATACCATAAAAGCTTCCAATCATGTAAAAGCATAACAACTTAAGGAAATTATGGGGAAAAAAGGTTCCCACAATCAATGCAGCCACTAATCTCGGGGTCAACGGGTTTTTCTTGGGCACAGAACAAAGTTGTGGGGATTTTTTTTAAACGCAACTTTTCAGGAGCTGGAAAAACACCGACTTACACCCTCTTCAAATTTGGCTAACAATACTTGGACCAAAGTCATACTGCTAAACTATTTCAATAGCAACACAATCATTGTTTTGACATAAACAGCATGCTGTCATGAGCATCACATATACAGTCGAACCTGTGTAAGACAGAATCGCAAGGGAGCCAGAAAAAAAATTCCATCTTAGACAGGGGAATTTAGTGAATTTAGTGGGGAGATTGGGGGGGGGGGGGGGTCAAAAGGCCAAGCCGGTGTGATCAAGGGTCGCTTGTCCAGTTGGCAAGCAATCACAAGTGGTCAAACTTCACACCTCTCAGTTGCTATCCTCTTTGATAATGACATGTGTGTCAGTCTTATTTATCCAATTACTACCAGTGACTGAATTTCATAGGACCACTGTTTGACCAATTTAAAACAGAAACGATTGAACATCTACTTTTCTTCCACCTTTAGCCCCACCCATCGGTATAATAAGCACAGTCAACCAATGCCACCCCCACTGCCACTTAACAACGATTCAAGGAACTCTTTTTCTCGGCTAGCTGTACGATTAGGGCGGCAGGCATTGGTCAAACTAATTTCACACCTCTGGTCCCTGGCTACTAATGAAAGCTTCCATGCTGAAGCGCCACTCGAGCACTTTTACTGGCACTCTTGGGATTTCACACTCGTACCATCCTGACCATTTTCAACCCTCAGTGCTCAACTAGATAGAGTAACGTCTACCCCCAAATTGCACCCCCACTCCCCTTCCTCTCCCAGCAGCATAGCATTAAGTTTAGAGCCGGCGGACAGAAGCAAACTTGCGAGTTTTATTTCAAATCAGGACTGAACGGACAAAACATTTTCCGTCTTAGACAGGTAAAGCCCTCGGAAGGGAGCGTATTTTTCTTTCCGCTTCTGCGTCGGACATGTTTACGTTTTATACAGGTAATTAAAGAGGAATCTATCAAGGGGGGAGCGGGGAGATTCAATCAAGACAGGTTTCTGTTTTACACATGTTTCCGTGAAGGCAGGTTCCATTGTATTTGTTTTAGTAACTCCAGATACGATAATTTGGCCCCTTACCCTAGATTTGTTCTTTTCATATTACCAATAACCAAAAAATTTACAGTCCAAGACCCAAGACAGATTTCCTCAACCTGACAAAAAGAAGAAAGTCAAACCCACAACCAGTGTCGGGAAAGAAGACAAACAAAAAGGACAAAATGCCAGAGAAGAGAATAACGTTAAGGTGTTCTACCTTCAGCAACATCAAAACCCTGGAACTTGACCGGCTGCGCATAGTTGACCATGGCAGACAGGTAGGGGTGTATGTTGGTGGTAGCCCCAGTGTAGTGGTAAGTGGACATGAGCTCCGCTTCTTGGTCAGCGGTCAGTCCACTGTCCATAGAGTCTGTCTTCAGCAGTTCATCCAGCTGGAGAACACATGTTTGTTAGTTGTTTTTGGACACTTATTTTGTTTGTATTTGTATAAAATACACGTCATACTGAATACCCAACAGATAAGTCATTTTAAAGATAAACCACACATGTTCGCTTGAGTTTGTGTATGTAGAAGCACATCATTACTATAACCTATTTAGCACTGATGAAAAAAACAAGATGGACAGAATGAGCAGAGGACAAGGAAAGAGGTAGAACCTACCAGAGTGCCTTCAAATCTCAAACCACCTTCTTCTAAATCAGCTGGACCAGCCTTTCAGATGACAGTGAACTGTAAAAGATAGTACTATACATATCCTTGCCGATGGCAGGTATGACTTCACGTAAAAAGCATGGGGTATATTTATCTGACTCCAGAATGGACCCCTTTTTTTTTGTTGGCAACACACACAATGTGGGGGGGAATTTCGGACAGGACTCGTGCCCTTTGCTCTTTCTCTTCACACTGACCTCCATGACTTGAAATGACTACAGAAAAACCACCCTCAGGCCACCAGATGTTCAGATTATTTAGAGCTTAAATCAAGAGTACAAACCAATTTAAGAACCGTTCAAGTAAGAAATCCAGTCCAAAGCCAATTTCACATTGACGTCACTCAACAGAAATAAAAAAGTTATGTCATACGTGAATGGCAATAGCCAGATAATTGTTAAATGGAAAATCCTATTCAGCATTACTTCCCCTTTGCCTGGCCCATTCCTCTCAGTATGCCACACGTATAATACAGGGGGCATACTTTTGGACATCAATTTTTAAATTGTGCATATGGTATGTGAATAAATAATATAGACCTATACAGCATACAAAGGGTGCAACAAGCACAGAAGAAAGATACCAACCCAAATGAAAAGAGGTTGTTTAAGATAAAGAGGAGAATACCATTACAATAATGGTCAAACTGAAATAGACTGACCAAGACAGCAAATTAGTATAACAAATATCACGAAAAAAATTGTGAAACCATGTGAGGCTACGGCTGGCTGTAGAAAAAAACAGCTTCCAGACAAATATTTCAACTCTTGGGCCGCAACCTGTTCACTTGAGTTAACACGCAAACCTCGATGAAAAAAAAAAAATGATTAAACTGTAGAGACACCGACTCAACCGATATTTTTTACATAGATCTTTGAAGGGACCAAATCGGAAAGTGAAAAATGGAAGGCAAAACTGAGCTTTGCAACATTCTTGTAGCCACAAAACATGCAGTAATGTCCCGAGGCGCTTAGGTACTGTTTCATATTATCGACATAGCATATCATTTTAGATTAGTTACACCATTGGGTCACAAATGCTTATACCTCCTCTTTTCCTCCTTCCTCTTTGGGCTTCTTTGCTGGCGGGACCTTTACGCTGGTCTTCTTGATCTCCGAGTCTGAGTCGACGCTGCCTGTGGTGGTCTTGGCAAGCTCGGGGTGAGCTTCCGTGTCCGTGTTCTTGGTGGTCGGGTTCAGGTCTGAAACATAATACGATCATAGGAGATTCAGTCATCAAACACCTTATTTGAGTAAAGAGATGCACACCCAGAGAAAGTAAGAGAGATAGACAAATACAAAAGAAGGCGAGTAAAGAAGCTGCAACCAGAAGAACTTCAGTCATAAAATATTTTATCCATAGACTAGAACATTATTACTTGTGAGGCATAGTGGAGAAATCAGGCGCTCATCAAAATATTGAAATCAAAGAAACCGACATTTTTCTGGCTGTTATAAAAACATTGATCAAAGGCATAAAACATGTAAATTTGCTGTTTCCAAGGACTCTCTAGCTATGGAAGTCACCAAACTTTGGTGGACATTCTCTCACTAATTTTACCTCTGAAACAAGGCGCTTCCTCCTCCTTCAATTGCAAATACCTTGACTTCTTTTCAAGAAAGATGGATATTTTTTTCAATGAAAGCAAGGCAACTGAACAAACTATAAGATGATACCAATTAACTCCATGTGCCCAAAAATGGATGAGCACCCGATTCCACGGCATCGTGACACATTTATTCATACAGATGGTAACCTATGTCTGGTGACATTGACCATGACTTTGAGTTTGTGAGTAAAGAGAAATAGAGCATTGACGCAATAATAGTCAATAAGTGCTGAGAAAAGGCAAAAATCAAACAAAAACAAAAGAGGGATAGAACAGAAGAAGGACCAACCACTGATGCCCTCCATCTACCCACTAATATTCTAGTCATAGACTAGAATTGCATAATTTTTTAATACTCATAAATCAGTATTTCAATTTGTGTGGAGAAAGAAGCACATCGACACAATATCGGTCATTCAGCGTTGTGGAAAAGAGAGACAGACAGTCAGGAACAACAGAAGGGAAGAAAAGAAGTATGACCTAACAGTGATGTCTAACAATCGCCTTCTCAGGTCATCTATATCAAATGATACGGACCAGGACAAAAGGGCAAAAATCAAAATATTTTGTCGAGTTTTTAGCGAGTCCACAATAGGTTTTTTTTGTTAGTTTTAATAAATGCTTCACAGCACTTACAACACCAATATATCATATAGGTGCCACAGATTGGAGGCGTTGCTGGGGAGTGGCATACACAGAAAAGGAGGAGAGATAAGAACAACAGATGTCGGATAGGAAAGAAGGAGCAAACCACATCACATCACCTACCAACCACCAAACAACAGGACACTTTTTACATGGAGTAGTGTAAGACATGAAACCTGAAAAAGAAGTAGACAGACCACAGCGCATCAAGGCCCCAGTGAACTGCCTATGGAGGGTTACAGTTTCAATAACAAAGATTAATCAAAACACTTTTTTTTAAAATACTGTAGAGCTGTGGTCTACTTTCCATGACATTCCCAGCGTCAATTGGGGGAAAAAGTAAAACGACTCTGTGGCATCACCTTGTAGATAACTGGTAGAAGCTGATATGAACTAATTAACTAATTTCCTAAACAACAGATACAGATAGTAGCAACACTGACAAGAAGCTGCAGGAGGAAGGAGGAGGGTCCTTTAATGAGAAAATGTGCCATGTACTTAATTACAAGGTAGGCCTACAGAGAGGAGTCACCTCCATTCTGAGACATCTCTAGAACTAACTGGGCAGAAAGTAAAGAGAAAGCGAATATCTTAACACAGAATTTTCAAAGGACCATTATACTTTTATAAGTACACCTTAAAGTGCTCAAAAGAATAGATGTGTGCCACCATTTAAAAAATCCTTCTTGCTTGACAGCAGGTGACCTCTTTAGTTGGGAGTTGTATTCATGTAAAATTAACAACAAATAATATGTCCATCAGCGGTCTTTTTCCCTTAATCAAAATATGTAGTGTGACACTCCTGAAAAAATGTATCGTAAACACAATTTCCACAAATTAACTTCCCGAGAGACTAGTGCAAATGAATTTCAAATAATGGCTGCTCTAAAAGGGCAAAACTAAAACATTCGATTAAAAATGAACACCGGAACAATCAGCAGGTGGACTCGTAGAGCGGGGAGCGGAGCACGTACTGTATGGCAATGCCCGGAGTGCTATGCTATTGTTCCCAGGATCAAGTAATCAAGTATTAAGACTGGTAGAGGAAATCTTAATCTACAGAGATCATCGGGACAAGAGGGTTTTGCCATCTACACATCCACTGAGTTGATTTTAAAGGTAAGCGGAAGCACGTCAGAGCCGTAAGCGTCGTACACAAAGAACAATGTCCAAGAACTAAGATTACTTCTCTAGGGTATCAAAAAAAATATCTATTACATAACACAGTTGGACCTGCCATTTAGCTAATGAAACAGAAAATCAGTAGGGGGAAAGACATTTAACGATGACCATGAGCTAAGCAATTAATTTCAAAACTGGTATAGAAAGCCAACAAAATGTTGAAATGGTGGCTTTGAAAACCTTAAACTTTGGGGTCAAACTACAAACTATATGAACTGCTGTATTACCCTTTCTGGGTGTTACTATGTATCTGGAGAGCACAAATGTGGAAAAGGTATGATTTGATGCAATTTCAGGTAGCTTTACTGGGCCACCTTTCTGTAATAGACATGGCATGTTGACATTTTGAGTGCATTTTGCCTATAACTCTCAAGCCATTCTAACTCGCAACACTTTACAGTGAAAACTAAAATTTACTTATTGTTTTCTTTAAAATGCTATTACAGTGTAAGGTAAAGGCTTCACTTATTACATACCGCAATGATTTTTGGTTAGGAACGGTTACGGTGTGTGTCCCCAACAGGTAGGCCTATATAATTTACTGAAGGCATGAAGTAGTAAGTTTAATTAGTTCCACAAAACTTCTGCTCGATCGTACAAGGCATCAGATGGAACATTTTTTAAAGATTGCAGAATACCATGACACGACTTTTAATTTTACTGTTGAAACATAAATGCTTTTACATTTTTAACAACAATTCTTCCCTGGGTAAAATGAAACCTCTGAGCTAATAATCATTCTACTAAGCTGTCTACACAACAAAGCAAACTAAGATGCTATGGTACATTTAAAAGAATTAAATTTTTTTTTAAATTTCCCAACAATGTAGCATCCCACGGTAGAATTCAAAATTCACAGAGTGATTTCATTCACAGGCAAACATGAACCCGAGGGGGGGTGGGGGGGGGGGGGGGGTCGAATAATTCTTTTTCATTAGTTGTTTAAAAACATGATGGGTAAGATCAAAGCGCACACACAGAAAAAAAAACCATTAGAAAAACATAAAGAGCTCTGCACCTGGCATTCTGAAAACAGTGAGAAAAAAGAAAGTGCACGAGAGAATTACAATTAAAGTGGGTTAGAGGCATGAAAAAGGCAGAATAAAAAAAGTGCAAAAAGAAAAAAACACACATGTGTTCATCAATTATAAATATTGCAGTCGAACCTGCTTTTATAGCCAACTGTCCAAGACAATCAGAAGTACAAACAACAATTTCCCATTCCCCCCCCACCCCCTCTTGCATTTTTAACAAATATTTTAATGACAATGTCCATGAAATTGAACTGTCTAACAAAACCAATTTTCTCATCAACAAAAGGTGGCTGTCTTGAACAATATCTACTGTAGTTTATAATTATGGTGAAAGCAAGTAAGTGCGGAGGGGGAGCCCATAAAATTTTAACACCAGTTTAGTCCTTTATATACATTTTGTAATTTGATAGGAGTACTAAGATCTACTGGGATAAAATTTGACTTTTCAAACACTCTGGAGATAAATAGCATTAAGTTGCCACTCCACTAGCAAAACCATAGATTGTCTGGTCTTCCAGCAGGTCATTTAGTTATAATAAAATGCAAAAATTGGTCGACAATTCACACTTTTCAGCAGCCTGGAGCAGTCATTCGCATTCATTTAGAAAAAGCAGCAAGTACGTCAGCACTCACACTAGCTTTAAGAGCCATCAACAGGCAGTTCAGAAAACATTCCCAGCCATCAGCAAGAATAACAGAAAGGCTTAGCTTTAAGAACAATGACAGTTCAGAACAATGAGAATTCAGAACATTTAGAATCATGCATAGGTTCACAGTAAAGAATGAGGCAAGGAAAATATTAGAAAATGAAAATCAGGGCAACACACAATTCCTGGCAATAGTAACACATTGGATTTGTCCTTTTTAATGGAGTGCATTACCATTACTATGAAAAAGACTTTTTTCTGACTTTACACACAAAATGAAAGGACGACAGCAGAAAATTGTTTTCCAAGGAGAACTCAAAAGAAAAAGTAATCCTTTTTCTATTCTTCAGATATAAAAAGATTGTTGCCTCATTACTAAAACCTCATATAGATTCAAGTATGAACAGAGAATATAAAGGTTGTCTCTCAAAATGTTCCATTCCTCAAGTCACTCCATTAAATCAGTCATTTTTTATTACTTCAAAACATCACCTGAAACTCAAAAGTATGCACACCGAAGAACCAAAGACAAAGATATTAGGTATTCTTTTTTAAAAACAACTGCAGCCAAGACACAAGAAAATGAAGATAAAAGGGCACAGGCAAATATAAATATGTGAAGATATTGATTTCACAAGGGGGAGGTATGTACCAGAGGGTTTGGTGCTAGTAGAGGTGGTGGTAGTGGTGGTGGTGGCTTCTTTTATTTGAATAGTACTTTCAATACTACTGGCGCTATCTGCATCATCATCTGAGGAAAGGGAGAACAACATAACTTTGTCAGCTATACATGGGAGCAGGGGGAGCAAGGCCAGACTTGAGGAGGGGGGGGGTCCAAGTAAAGGATGAACGATAGTACAATTGGCCCTCTTGATAGGCCGCTTTCAACCAGGTGAATACACGAGGAAGATAGACTTCCACTATGGCCGAAGAGGGAATGGTAATGTGCTGAAGGAATGTGTAGTGCAGACATACGATGACACTGTGGTGACAAGGTCATGCTTCTGAGGATACTTCATATCACAATTATAAAAACCTTGGACAAGATCTACCACTGGTGACAGACAAACCCTTCCCTTGTCAGGTCCGAAGGAACAGGTCGGGACAGAAAACCTGCAGCCTTATACACTCAAATAAAAACAGAATTCACTGATTGTAAAAATGACTTTGATTTCCAAAGCTGTAGACAACAAGCAAGACTAGGTAGACTAGCAGAATCAGCCACCAGTTGTTCTTTATATCATCATAATACAACTTCAACCGTACAAAATCAAATTACAGACACAAAAAAAAGCATTTTATTTGAAAGGAATTATATGCTTCAAATGTTCCTCAGACATTATTAATCTTTTCAAGGGTAGACTAACCACATCCAACTGTCAGTTTGTGAAATTTACACATCATGGGTTACTTTCAATGTAAACTGAATCTGACAAGATCTGCATGAAAAGCAAAAAAGGTTTGGAACTCAACTTCTCTGGCAACTAGAGGGGGACAAAACACATTCTAGGCTTCAACTGAGTTGCTATTTAGTTTTAGTAGAGGTTTTACGGCGCTCGCAACTGCATAAGGTCATATGAGTGCCAGAAGATTAGAGGTGTTACAAGAGAGTAACAAACATAAAAAAGAAGAAGGGAAGATAAGGATGATAGAGATTTGATAGGAAAGAAGGAGCAAACCACACAAGAGCACCCGCCAACCGCCTGCACTGAGTTGCTAATGTCTGACAAATCTAGTGAAGTCCACTGAACGGCACTGCCAAGTGAAAGACCAGAAGACCTAAAATCATGTATAACAGATAGACAAGCCCTGAAGTTAGACCAAAGTGGCAAAACCCAACTATTTTTTTTTAAATCAACGCTATCAGTCAGTATCACTTACAAGAACCATCAGTGCCAATGCCAAGCCATGTCAGTAAATTACAGTACAGACAACTGCACATTGAATCAGAATTCTCAAACGGACATCTTAAAATCCAGTCACACCATTAATTTTCACAAGAAACATATATTTGTTATTTGTGACTGTCACTCTGATACAAAAGGATGACAGACAGTGTGTTCACTCTACACCATAACTAAAACATTACAACTCAACAGGTGCACTCATTTAAGGCCCAGCAGCAAAACTATAGTACTCGATTCTAGACCAAAACATATACCAACAACTTCGTCAATGAAAAGCGGCTAAGCTTATCTTTACGTAGGACTCTTTCTATATTATGTGGTGCAACTCTGATCCAAATCGCCACCCAAATCACATTTCAACCTCTATCTTCAACTCTGGATTTAGCAAGCAATGCAAAACTTCTGTGAAAGGATGTTGAACCTTCATCATATGCACTTGGTTTTAAAAAAAAAAAAAAAAAAAGAGAACCTCCGTCAATATCATACATTAACACAACATATCACTCCAAAAGCATGAGAAATGCAAAAAACCACTGACAAGCAAGAGTTAAAAAGGTGAAGCGGTTCAAAAAGTAGGCAGTAGAAGACGATCAAGCTCACCAAAAACCTCACCAAAGACCAAAGCATTACTCAAACCATAGGCCAACGCATTGAATAATAAAAATGACGTAAAAGTCACCAAACAACACCATCAACAATAGTTGGAAGCAATCATTACAAAGCCCTTTCAAAACTAAAATAAAAACACTTCTCCTTTCTTTTTTGTTGCCTTGTCATCCAAAAAATGTTTTGTTGTGTTTTGTTTTTTTCATCAAAACTTTTTAACTTAGTCTGTTTTACCAGACTCTTCATATTTTTGCACGAGTATAGAAGCTGAACATCAGCAAGCTGTTCAACTGCTCTAAGCCCAGATTCAACATAATTTGTCAGGAGAAAGAAAACACAGTGTCATTCTTTTCAAAATTATACCTACATTTATGCATCTTTTCTTGTAGAGTGTTTTTTCCAAAGTTTAGAATTTGAATTTCAACAAAATATTTCTCAAGTAACAAAATATTTCTCAAGTACTTACAACCAATTCCACAGATTAAGAAACTAATTTTTTTAAAGTTCATCCACTTGGGCTTGGTACATGAACAGCTGGCCAATATAAAGTTTCCATACTGCCGAAAACTATATCTATTAAACTTTAGAGGCATTTAAAGTACTGGCCAAGTAACTGCAAATTTTGCAAAAAGGCGCATTTTTTGTTACTGAGTTGAGTTTGAGGTGGATGCGCACACTTTAGAGATAGCCTGATCTTGTACAGTGACATCTGGCTTGATTTGGCTGGTTTTGCGCCTTGTGCATTTGTACTTAAATGAGAATCTCACTTGAATTGGCTGGTTTTATGCCTTGTGCAATGAGATCTGGCTTAACTTGGCTCATATTTTTTGTCAACTTTTAGATATTTGACAACAACTTCACAAACTACTTCATTCTAGGTCCTAAAAACTTAAAGTTTCATTGCCATCCCCATTGCAAATGTCTCTTGAGTGTGTCAATGCTCGTCAAAGGTCTCTGCCAGATAAAAGTTACGCGAAAAAAAATGTTGGGAGGAAAGATAAAGATGAAATAAAATCAAGGCGAGTTAAAATACATTTCTCCCACATCACACAAAGAGTCTCTTCACCCTCCAACAACTATGAATACCACAATAAGTGCTTTACAGATCAGTTAAACACGGACACAACTTGAAGCCCCCTCCCTTTTCTTCTAACAATAAGAGAATTGAAGTACAACAAATAGTTATGACAACAACAAAAATAGGGAAATAAAGCCGCATGTTGGGCCTAACTTTTCCAATTTTCTGTGCTGCTGAGGTGGACAAAGAGCCCCATTTTCACAGCAATCTGGCCGTGCATACATAAAACACACAAAAAGATGATATTAACACTCTGTGGATTCGATCCATGCAACTTGAAACAGTGGTAGACAGCTTCATTGGCAAGCCAAATACACTTAGGACAGCCATACCAAAGAGAACTGTTGTTTTTTTTTTAAAGGGAGATAAATGTGAAGACTCATGCCATAGGAGAAAAACTTCTGTCTTAACACTCAGTCAGAGAGCCTGAGCCCAGCAACTCCAGTACATCAAGACTTATTTACTCTACTGTACAATTCTACTCACAGCTCATAATATATTACAGAAGAATAGAAAACATTTCGAAAAGAATTTGAAAATGACTCAGTAGTCCACAGAAATATGAACTATAAGCATCTTTTGAGAAATGTGCAGGCTCTGAGATAAGGGGAGACAGTGGAAGCCTCTTTAAACTCACCACACAGGAGGAGATGAAGCATTTCTAAAGGGGACAGTGCCTTAAGAAAAGCCCGTCCAGCCCAAACTAACCTTCCATAACCTTTAAATCTGACAACTATTCTTCTGTGGCTCTCAACTGAGGCTCTCAACTATTCTGGGGAATGTTTGAATGAATTTGCTCTCCGGAGTGACGGAAATTTTCTGGCCAGGTTCAATTGGCCAGATTCTGGTAATTGCTGGGAAAAAGGCATCTCAAGAATGCTAAATATGAGGAAACCATGAATTTGTGCAAGAAGGGAAGAGAAGGGAGGACAAGCTATGTGCGGTGGAAACCTAGTGTATCAAAAGGACAACAATCAAGACACAAAGAACAAGAGAAATCAAAGAAAACTGTTAGGATATCCCAACAAGGCAATGAGGTAAAGGGTTCAAATATGTCTCACACATAGATAAGTCCCTGTCTAATCAGGAAGAAAGTGCAAAACACTGAAATACCGGCACAACAATTGTTCAGCACCAAAACAAACAAACAGCTTTATTTTTTTAAAGTAACTGCATTTTGTGGACTATAAGGCACTCCAAACAAAACAAAAAATTTTCATCAACCCTATGCTGAGTATTACGCAAACCTGTCAACAACACTTAGGTGAAGCAAGCAAAATGTGAAACTGGGTCAAAATAAATTCTTCAACACATTCTTCCCAAAAATGATTTTATCGTATGAAAATGTGTCATGATGTGGCAGAAGGAACATTATGAGCTATTTTTGTGAGCATCAAGAAAGTCACATGCCTTCACTTGGAGGTCTATTAAGTCAATTTTTGCCTAATACCGCCAATTAAAAGCAGAAAGGTTGAAATGGAAGAGAAAAAAATTAGTGCCTTGTAGTCCATAAATCACTAATTACAGAAGAAGTCTTTTTTTAAAAATGTAAAAGTGCTTTCAAAGAAAAAAGCCAAGAGGTATGAATAAAACCGGAGTCGGTGTTGAGATAGTAGTACATACCATTGAGCGGACCTTCCTCGCCATCAACTGCAACCACATTGGGGTCTTCTATCACCTCACTGTCTTCATTCACAATCTGAATCATGCCCTTTTGGAACAGCTCCAATTGCCCTGAGGAAAAAAAATTGAAAAGAGATAAAAAAAAGTTTTGTCACATTCGAAATAGCTGCTAGATAAATGACTTCAACTTCAATCCAATTCCTGTCACAAACAAGATGACAACCTGGCAACTAGTTTTTCGTTTCAGAACTGGACTGACTGTAAATGATAGAACATATTTTGGATTATTAAGGAATAGTTTTAGTTGAGTTTTACAGCACTTGCAACCCAAGAAATGAGGTGTTACTAGAGAGTAACATACAAATAAAAGAAGGAGAGATAATGACAAAAGATGTTAGATAAGAAAGAAGGGACTAACCACATTAGAGCACCTACCAACCAACCACAGATCGTTAAAGAGGAGGGTAGCTTTGAGCATTCCTGTCATAACCACTAGGACTGAGAGGAAAATTACATTAAAGCAAAAAGACCGAGATACTCCATGAAATATGTTCTCTGCACTGGTGTCAAACTCATGTTTTCATGGTGGAAGTTAACTCACCCAGTCCCGTGACTGAGATATCTTGGTCAGCTCGCAGGCTGTGTTCAATCTCACGACCGAAATGACTCGGTTCTATAGTTTTGTTCCGTATACTAGTTATTTCGTTTCAGAAAACGGCCTCAAGTTTTATATAAGGTAAATTTATTATTTCCCCGCCCAATTCTGCCTAGAGGGGTGCTGGAATGTTGTTTCTATTGTCATTACACACGGAGAAGTCAAAGTTTTTGTAAAGGCATTTTCAGCAGTTTTGTTCACACTGATCAGCTGAGTATGTCTCGCAATCGATTCTCTCTGCCTTCCTCACACATACATTTTTATTTTATTCATGAAAGTATTTTACAGTCTTTATAATACATGGCATGCAGTATATAGATCTAAACACTCACAAGCATATATTTGAACATCAATGTAGGCCTGCTCTTGCTCATTCGGGCATGAAAAAAAATTATAGGCCCTTAAAAATGCCAAATTTGTACAACACTCCAAAGCAAAACTACTAAAGCTACATACTTGAAATTTTGTATGTCTAAAGATCCATCTTAGGTTGTGCTTTGTGCCGAATTTCAAAGCAATTGGATTTATATTTATAGTTATTAGTAGGCCCTTACATAAGTGCCAAAATGACTGGTTTCTGGGTACAATTTCGGGAAAAAATCCCAGGATTGAGTGAGTCAAGGAACTAGATGTTAGTCAAAGACCAAAAACCCTCCAAAAGTAGCTGAAGCTATTTTAAGTCCCTATCCACACAATTTGTATATAAGTATCTGTGGAGTACCAGTCAGTCACTTAGCCATCACATGCAGGAGACCTGAATTCGATTCCCAAGTGAAGAGAACATTTTTATCAAGTATCTCGATTTTTCTGTTAAAAAGATTTATCCCTCTCATCACGGGTTGACCCTAACAGGCAGGGCCACAAGCCTACCTCCTATATGATATAAATTGTGTTGATGGGGGAGTAAAAAAAAAAAGTCCATACCAATTTTAAAAAATAAATTTGTGTCACAACACAGTGGAATTCGGCACTCATCAATTTTTCGGCATATGGTGTCATTAGCATCAACTTAAAGCTTGTTCATCTTTCCTGCGCTTAATGAAATGAATACTCATTTATCTTGAGTAAAATTCAAGACATTTGCAATTGTAGGAGATGGGAATCCAATGGTGTCCAAGGTAGAATTAGCAAGAGCCACCGGAGTTGGGAGGCTTCCAAAGCTTGAGTGTCCTTGGAAACTGCGAAAGTAGATTTTTTTGGCCTTAGGTCAACATTTTTCTGTTAAATCCCTACACAAAATGTGTTTTTATATGGACATTAAATGGAACTGAGCTTTAAAAAAAAAAAAAATGAAAGTTGCCAGACACGCGGAAAAATGTTGGTTTCTTTGATTTTATAATTTTGACGAGCACCTGATTTCACAAAATTGCAAAACATTTGGGCAATTTCCAAAGAGATTGTTCAAAATCAAGGTCCCATAAATTATTAACACATACGTTTTTCCTCTTCAGGAGTTTGACGTTTGTTTTTGATGAGGATCTTGAACTTCAGCTGGTTCGGAGATGGTAGAGCAATGCTGGGCTCAAGCTATGGGAGGAGAAAAAAAGAGACAGGCACACTTGAGACCAAAAACGGATATAACTTTGCACAAGAGTAATTTATGTTACCCTAAGCAGACGCATTATATTGTCACTGTCACCAAAAAAAATATATATATTATGTACACAACAATGTTTTATTACTCACCCCACAAGGGAGGGTCAAACAAAGTCACTTGCCTTTACAATGACAGCAACAATAATATGCTCTATTTCTTATACACTGTCACATTTGACAACCACAAAATGAGATTCCTTAAGCCAAAGTTTAACCCTCCTGCATACAATACAAAAGCCTTTAAAATATTTTAAATGTATTTTCATTCGCATTACAAATGAGATATCATCTTATTCAAAAATGGTGAAATGGTATAGGTTTAATGCCCCTATCAACACTATTAGGTTATCAGGACCTCCGAGTTTAACATCCACCTCGGAAAGGACCAAGCCAAATGGGAAATTCGTGTAAAGTGCCTTTCCCAAGGACACAACATTGGACCAAACTGAGGCTCGAACCCTTGAACCTGCAATCTCACGATTTCGACTCTGGTAACCACTAGGCTACCGTCGCCACCTGATCTTATTCAGTCTTCATGTATACTTGTAACCTTAGATAAATATTCTTGGAATTCATGAAAAACTCACAGGGTGACTCTCCAAAGGTCTTCTTAACAAATAATCTCCAAGTAAATCTTCACAGTACTTTGCCATCTTGTACTGCTGCAATTTGCTGTGGGATGTGAAATAAAAATAATACAGTGGTCAGGCACACAAGAAAAGAAAGATTATAATTATTTCAAGAGAACACAGGTAAAAAATGCTTCATTTTATTTAATAAAGGAGATTGAGAACTGTTTAAATTTCCTGTCAATTTTCTTCCCCCCCCCCCGCCCCCCCCCCCCCCCCCAATTTCAGCTAAATTAATTTTGAAAGTGCTCAGGTTTTGAGGGATGACACAAAACACAAATGATTTTCATACAAAAGTTGGTGTCATTTTAAAGTGAATAAAATGAAGAATACATTTATAGTCGTCTTACATATTTGTTAAAATAATATATGTGATTTGTAGGGTGAGAAAGTAAACATTTCATTCACACCCATTAGGAACAGCTCACCATTACTGTTGCAGGCAAATCAGAAGAATGAGATGTAGCCACCACCATCATTACCCTTTAAGGCCCTGGACGCCCTAAGCCTAAAAGTTCTGCTAATATACTGCCAGGGGCTGAGGGTGTCAAATAATTGGGCCTCAGTTTGATTTTATGTCTTTCCACAGAAATCACAGCAAAAAAAATCCTAGCCCCTACCTGCAATGATTTTCAAAGGAGAGGATGACGGGATAACACGAGGTGACAAAAGCTGTTTCTTTGATGGCTTGTATAACGTCCTTGAAGAGGATGTCGGAGCACATGGCTTTGCCATGGGTGATGATAGGCTCCTGGTCCTCATTACGGCCGTCCCAGCAGTCCAGCTCCACACATCTGGACAGATAATGAATGACATAAGATTTCGCTTGCAATTTTCCATTAAACAAACACGCTCCACACATCCACACACACAATAAAAAAACTGCTTTCTCCCCTCTTTCATTTAGCAGCCTAGTTGTGCACTTTTCAGTTTTATTTTAGTTAAACATTAAACTTATCAATAAAATCACCTTACTCTCATATCCTGCATTTTCTCACCTGTCAATTCTAAGTTGTAGATTCTATCTATTTCCAACCCCTTTATCACTTGCATATACAGACTTACCCCTTGTACACAAAAACTAACCCAAAGGGAAAAAAGTTTAGTTTTGAAATTCATAGACCACATAAATCCTATATATAATTGTCCCTCCTTTTTTTCACTTTTTGAATGTTAATACTTCTATCAGCATACTGGGATGGTCACTGTACAAGACAGCCAAAACTCTCCTTCCCACAGAAAACAAATCAAAGTCTGGCTCCTGCCAGATAGAAACCTTGAGGAACACAATCTAGGAATAAAAGGTCTAACAGTCGTTTTCGCTGACACCTTTAATATAAAAAACAAAAACAAATAATGATTAGTCGAAGTACACACCTGCATCCAGCCAATAGAACCTGCCGATACATTTCGACGTTGGACTTGCCGCCAAACTGTCTGCCAACCAGGTAGGTGTTGTGAGAGGAGTTGATAATGTAATGTGCCAGGGGCTGGTTCATGTCCATGTAAATGTCCAGTCGGTCAAGGAAGACGGGCGCGTTCTCATCAGACATCAAGTATCGGCAGAAGCCATCCTGGCTCAGCCAGTCTGGATGACAAAAAAAGACACATTATGTGTATTTGTCACACAGTTTCTGAACAAAGGTGTGGAACTCGATTTTCATTCACTACGGCTTCACAAGTGAAATATCAACAGGGAAATTAACTACAAGTAGCGCAGGCCTGACTGACAAGACTATATATCAAGAAAGTACAAATCATTTCCAAACAAATAAAAACAAATTTTAAATATGTAAGCTTTTATGCCTCCATCGAGACAATTTAGATCATTTAGGAGGCGGAGTTATGACCTTGCCAACCCTGGTTCAGAAGGAAACATCCAAGCAGAAGACCAAGATACTCTATAAAAAGGTTCTCCTAACTTAGGTCTCCAGCGCACAAGAGCAAAGTGCCTAACCGCTACACCATAGATGTCAGTACTTTCAAACAGGAAACTGAACAATCAGCATACAACACCATAAAAATACAAAAACACTTAAAGGTACATCTCATCTTGAAGTCAGCTTTACCATTGTACAATTATCAGTGCAACAATGAACCCTTTTGTTCATCATATGTTATCTATTTAAATCAATTTTTGAAACATAGCAGTTGCTACCAGAGGATTTAATCAGGGAGATCAAATTAACTGGACAGAGCATAACCGCAAAAGGCCAACAGAAAAAAGTACACTGAGATCTCAAATAATTAGCCTTGACACATATTCACTACAAACGTCAAGTGCCATTGTTGTGACAATTTTGAACGAGTGCACATTGTTGCTTCTTTCAGCAATACTCTGCCATCCAAAGGCAGAACATACCTGACAAAATGGAAATTTTTTGGTATCATTAGTTTAATACACTAGTCTGACCCATATCCTTCTTGTCAAAGGCAGGACAGCAATCTACGTCCATAATAGTTGTATCAAAGTGGTATAGCTACATAAGTGACTGACTGTCACAAATACGCATCAAGAAGGTTTCTCCTTTTTCTCAAAATAACAAATTGCTCAGTTACATCGCGCTGCCTTTGTACTCTTATATTTACAAACCATGGCACTACAGCTCAAAGGGTTAACATGATTCATGACCATGCAACAAGAAAAGTCATGATACTGTTTGAAACCATTATTGTGTCATACACAGATTGTCAAGAATATCAATGTAGAACATATTTCCTTAAATTATTTTTATTAATACTTTCTCTGTGCACAAAACGCTGCAAAATTTTTTTTTTTTTTTTTTTAATGCACCAACAGAAACTCACCTTTTGCCAAATACTCAGGATCTGTCTCATAAGACTGTATAATATTTCTAACTCTTGCATGATTATAAAATGGGAAGAGGATTTCATTTAACCGTGGATCTCTTTGTCTCTGGGGAAGAAATTAAGAAAACAAAATTAGAAAACACATCACTTAAATTTCAAAGGTGCAATCTGCGCTTCCTATTCAAAGCTTATTCTGAGAAGGGAGAATGTGAAATGTTCAATTTGGCAGTATAAATGTGCCTATTACTACTATTACTATAGACAGCTGGGCATAAACTCAATAATGTTTTAAATTTGAGAGCAGGGACAGAGGCATAACCATAGACATGACATGATATTTATTTTTCTGTTACTTCTGAAGAAAGCATGTTTTAAAGCTTCATATACAGTCATTCACACTGCAAAAAATACTTAAAATGTTACAAAATAGTAGCATGCCAGATTAAAGACTGATCCACCTTAAAGCACCCTTGCAGTGCAGAACAGAAAATTTCCTATATAATTACCCCTCGTAAATGCACATTTCAAATCCAACAACTCGGTCTAATAGCATAATTGTACTACTGTCAGAAATGGACTAGCTATAAAATGACTCATTTTCCTTGGAACTGATGAAAGCTTAGCAAACACCACATGTACATGCCCTCCTTTATTACTTGAAATTGCAGCTTTTCAAGAGAGAAAAAGAACATACAGGGACAAGGTGTCAGATAGAATTGCACAATGAGGAAAGACAGTGACCATCAATGCATGGTGGGCAGCCAGTGAGAGCAGGCTGTGGGGTAATTATGACAGTCATTGTCTGTGATTGCTCAGTACAGGAAAGCTTCACATCTTCCTTCCTTCCTTCCTCCAGCTGGCCTCCATTAGGAGGGCGGAAATCTGCTGCAGGCACACAGGTAGGAGGCTTCACATCTTCGTGCTAGCTTAGCTCCATGACTCAACCCACCGCAAGGGATCAAATGCAAGAAGGTTCACATTTATTAACGAATCCCATAGAACACATACTCCTAATCATTCCTCTTCGAAATTTGCAAGAAAGCACATTTGTAGAAGAGCAGGGTTTTTTTGGGGGGTCATCTGAGGTGCCTTCTATTAGCTAGGAACCCCCTGTACTCCAATTATTTTACTTTTCCTTAACTACAAACAACCAACGGAATACATTGTGCCTATATAACATTTCATGAATACGACCTTTTCAGAAATATGTTATGTATGCTCTACAAACAATAAACCTAATACCTATTAGTGAAAATGTTAAGTATGTTGAATTAGAGTTCAATGTTCACTTACATCATTAAAAAAGTCTATCAACTGAGGAATATCTAGGAATGGGCGGTTGTGGGATCTGAGGATTAAAGGAAAATAAGTTTAAATTCTGACAGAAGAAAAAACAGCAAATGAGAAGACAAAGGGAGAAAGACCAATAGACAGCAACAAACTTACAGACTGACAAACTGACAGACGGTCAGTGAGAGAGAGAGAGAGAGAGAGAGAGAGAGAGAGAAAGACAGAGAGAGAGAAAGACAGAGAGAGAGAGAGAAAGACAGACAGACAGACAGACAACAAACAGACAAACAGACAGAGAAAAAGAAAGAGAAAGAGAAGTACAGAGTGACAGTTCAAATCATAATCAGTTACATCAAGCTACTTCGATACAACACAGGAAAAACAGTTTGTCTTGATTTTCAACAAATAACGTTTGTCAAAAACAACACAAAATCTATCAATTTTTTCCCTTTTTGTGCATCTGTCTTGCTTTTTCCAAATACACAAAAACTGCCATTGTGTCATATAGAGTGACCAAATTTTGAAGCTAAATTGTCTTTCCTTTCCTAACATTTAATAACAATTTACCAAATTATCACATAGGGTCACGGTCGTGTGCTTTCCATTTACAAAAATACCAATATGAATAAAAATTTTCCATAAACCTCCAGGAGAGTGTGACCAGGGGAATCATGCAAACTGAAAACTCCCACTAAAGTGAAGGAAAAAAAAAACCCTAGAGCTTAACCATCCCATTCACTCCTTGATTACAATCATCCCCCCTCCCCCCTTTCTCAATTCCCTTTCTCCCCACACATAATAACATTTCTGAATCAACTTTTTTTAGAGAAAAGAAATTCTTTAATTCAACTTTAAAGTAAGGTTCATCCACTTGTAAACACTCACAGATCTTTGAAGAGCTCTTCTATGTCAGTGCGTGGGCAGATCATGTGGTAGAGCTCATAAAACTTGTCAAAAGTGAAGAGCTCGGCATCAATTTCATCTCCCTAATAGAAAACCAAAAAATATAAAAAATAAAGTACATGCAAAAATACACATCAATCTATACTCCATATGAGGTTGTAAAACCAAAAGTTCATTTTGAGGTCGGTATTATATCAAAACTTTCTTTCTGGGTAATTCAGAATTCTTCATCTGTACTTTCTCAATAAAGTTTAAAGACTGTAAAAAATAGCTATGTACATTTCAATTGTGTATAACAAAATATAGAACTACTGTGCATAGTCAGAGCCCACATGGAAAAGAATGGGTAAGCTTGAAAACAAAATAGCAACTACCAGCTATTATCATATTTCAGCTTAATATAAAACAAATGTAATATCTTTTTTCAATCATTGAAAATTATCTGACAACGAAACGACTATGCAACACAAGCTCACCTTGCCACTAGGAAGCCCTAAATCTTTTAAACTTGACATCATCCTTTTCTCCGTCTTGCCTGACGCAAATGTTCGTGTGATCCTGTTGGCATACAGAAAGCATCAGCACACGTTTTAGTGAGAGGAATTTCATATTTGAAGCATTTTTTTCAATATACTTTCTCAATGAGAATTAATTAAGTTCTAAAAAAGTACACTAGTCAACACTAAGCTATGGAAGACTTCTTTATACTCAATTTTAAAACAAGGAATGACTTTTTATTTAGACCATCCTGTTGTCTTAGCAAAGTCCAAGTACAAGGAAGGACAGACTGACAAACCAATCACTTCACAAAGAAGTGGCAGGAGAACACAAAAACAATGACTGAGTGTTTAGTGATTTCAGGCTCATCACAATAATGTCAAGCATAAGTCTGTAACATGGCATTTAGGTGGGTGGTAACTGAGGTGTGTCCTTGCACAAAGCACAAAACAAGGTACTGCATAGTGACAACCAGCGAAAATGTCTTACTTATAAAATTGTCGGGTTTGGTGTAATATGCCTGGCATCATGATGAAATTAGGCATTCTTCACAATAATGGAATAGAAAAAATTGACATTTTTCTCCCATTGGGCAGATTTTATCCGTTTAAAAAAAAACAACTGGCTCAACATCTTTCATACTCATTACACCTGGGCTGAAAGGTATAAAACATCCCATCAGAAAGACTGATATACTCCATAAAAATGTTCTCCCCACTTGGGAATCAATCTCAGGCCTCTGGCGCTAGTCAAGCATCTGACCACTACAACACATACGCCTGTATTGTTTTCATCAAAGACAAGACAAATGAACAAGCTTTAAGATTATGCCAATAATTAAAGAGTACCAAACACCTACGACCACCCGATTCCACCATGCTGGGACACACATTGTGTATTTGATAACTTTCATAACTTTCATAAAATATCCTCTGTGTGTGTGTGTGTGTGTGTGTGTGTGAGTGTGTGAGTGTGTGAGTGTGTGAGTGTGTGTGTGTGTGCATGTGTGTTCGTAAGTGTGTGGGTGTGTGTGTGTGTAACATGTGAGTGTGTGGTAATGTAACCAAAATCTCCCTACAGGGATCAATAAAGTGGAGTGTATTTATTTATCTATTCAATTATATATTTAATTATTTATTCATTTAATTATTTAATAGTTATCATCCCTGTGAGCAGACAGGTGCATGAAAAAAAGAGGAATAATAAAATCAAATGCCACGCACAACCTCAGACCGGACCCCATATTCGGCATCCAAGTCAGATAGACCTTTGAAAAGTGTTGCACATGTCGTATATAAGATGGGGAGTTTTCTACTATATTTCTATGTTACTCTATGCCCATCTTATCCACCTGGTATCTCCGAGAAATCAAAATCCAATATCGAAAAAAGGTGGACAACCCCTCTACTGTAGCCAGTAGTGCACATTTAATTTCTGAGGTTACTGCCCTTCTCTCATTGCGAGGGCATTGTGAAATAATGTGCAGTAGAAACTGTCTAAGATGGCCAACCATAGTAAAGGAGAAAAGTGACCATTTTAGACAAGTGATCGATTACACGGTGTTAATATAATGTAAAAATCATGCAAAGGAGCAAACGGATTACTCACCCTCTCACAGGAATTCTTCCACTTGGGTTCACCATGCAGCTTAGTTTTATCCAGCTGAAAACCAGAGGAAAAACATGAACATTTATGATTGGATAACACAATGAACAAGCAAAAAGAAATTCAGAGAAAAGCATAAACGGAAGGCCTGATGGGGCAATTGTTAAAACAGTATTCAAATAATATTGTACATTACAATGGTTTGTAAATAAGAATTCAACTTAACAGTATTCCCAAAGAAAAATGTTCAACAGAACAAGGAAATGCTGAATAAACACATTAGATGTTCCTTCATTTAATGCTGTGGCTGTAAATCAAAACGACTCATGTGTGCTTGTGCATCTGTAACAATTATTACCTGATTATCAAACAACTGACTTTTATCAAAATCAATTCCTGTATTCTCCAATTACCAAGCAAGGTATGCTGCCTTTATAAAAGACAGTAAATTTCATTTTCCAAAACTTAATCTACTACCAGACTTAATCAATTTTCCAAAACCTCATGTACCACCACACTAATTTTATTTTCAAAAACCTCACCCACCGCCAGACAAATATTCTTCACCACTGAGAGAATGACCGACTGACTGCATGGATATAAAATGGGCGAGTGAGAATCTCATCCAACAAAAGAAGTTATTACTTATTCAGGTTACCTGCAATTAAAAGCTAGAAATGAGCTTCAATATCTTTTTTTTTTTTTAATTTTATAGTAGAGGGTTTTACAGCACTCGCAACTGCATAAGGTCATATGAGCGCCAAGGGGTGGGTGTCAACAGAGAAGTCTTTACAGGAAATCAGACGTAGATTGCTCACCAATCTAGCTTCAACAGCACAAGGTCTGCTTCGACTATCAAGGCACCCCGAAAATAGCAGGTCACAAGAGAGTGACAAACATACAAAAGAAGTAGAGGTAAATGACAATAGTAAGGATCAAGAAAGAAAAAGCAGCAGTTCCCTGTTGTAGATCAGGCACAGTTATGAGCGTGACATGAGTCAGACCATTTACAATTCTACTATGCTTGAACGACAAATGTCCCCCCCATTTTGGAATGGCCTAAAGACACTACAGTCAGTGGCAAAATTAAAGGCACACAACTCACTGCTTTTTCAGCTGTGTCATTGGACATACATTGTTGGCCTTCATATTCAGCGTGATTTTACGCAAGCCTTCAAACCATACCTGAAAGAAGGAAAAGATGAAAAATTTCAAATAACATATCACATAGGCCTTTCGTGAAAACATCCAGGAACTTATCCTGCGCAATACTTCAGGCACTTTACAATACCTTCATCTTCACGTGTATGCAATGCTCATACTCAGACACACCCAAACATACATACACATGAGCTTACACACAAACACATGCACACACACACACATGCATGCACAGACACACGCACACACTCACACAGACACACACACAAACACACACACAAGCACACACAGACACACACATAAACACACACACACACACACACACACACACACACACACAAACACACCCATCAGTACAATAATTCAATGCAATAACTTTCCAACTCTGCTATTCCTCTCTTTATTAATGTCCCTTAACAGGTGGTTGGTGGAGGGTACAACTGGTAGGTCATCACTCTTTATTTTCTCAGTCAGGTGCTCTCTCTCTCTCTCTCTCTCTCTCTCTCTCTCTCTCTCTCTCTCTCTCTCTCTCTCTCTCTCTCTCTCTCTCTCTCTCTCTCTCTCTCTCTCTCTCCCTCCCTCCCTCCTTCCCTCCCTCCCTCCCTCCCTCCCTCTCTCAAATGTTCTATGACTATGAGCACTCACTTTAGCAACATCAGGATCTTTTGCAATGAGTAATGTGTACTGAATGTTCACCAGATCCAGCCCACTACAAACTGTCACTGTCCGATTCTCCAAACTGTGGGCATTCTTATCCAGGAAGTCTTGAATCTTTGGTTCCTGGAGAAAACAAACAAAACAAAAAACTCCCATACAAATGGGTGTATTTAGAAGGAATATCTGTGGAAAGGAGGACAATAGCGATTGCAAAGAAGTGATTGCACATGACCACATTTTAATTATACATTCAAACTTCGTTGACATACTGCCAGCGAACTGGCCTTCAGAGGTACAATGCACATGATACATGGCGCCATTAGGTGGCTGCTTGATAATCTTTTCCCCAGACACGTCTCTGCGAGCTCAGCCTTTTCTAGCACTTGTCGATTTGCTCCTCGATTATGGAAATGCTATTATTTTTAGGCGTTGGTAAATATTTTAAAAAGAAACTGGAATCAAATTCCAAAGTCACCTTGAGAAACTTCGAAGAAACTGCGCCATATCGGCCTGTCGTTAAAATATCTGGCATCACAAGACCACAATCCGATGACCAAAAGGTTGGAAGGTGCCCGTGAACCTTTGATATGGTGAGGACTCATGCTCAAGTCTATGTGAAAGGTTATTTGAGGCCCGAAGTCAGACGAGTATCAGGGTTTAAAAAAAGAAAGAAAAAAAAATGTACGTCTACAGGGTCCTTGACACATTATAGATTAGCTTCAGATCTGGCAGACATTTTCAATTTGAATTTACCAAAAGTTCATATTCAGCTGGAGATGCACATGTAATTGGTTGCTACTCAATTTTCCCCCTGCGCATGGTTATCGCGCAAAACAGAAAAATGAATCAAGACTGGCTACAGTTTGCCTCTTCAGTCTCTACCAGTCTACCACTAGTCAAGATAGCAATCAGTGCTATCTCGCTATACCGCCAGCCCCACTGTACTGCCAACTTTATGCTTGTCCCAATGAAGGCGGTAAAACGGGGTTTGACTCTATAACATACGTTCTGGCACTCACAAAGCGAACACACGCATGGCAAAATAGGTGCATAGCAAACATAATTCCAGTCCCAATTTTTATCTACCACTTTTTTGTACTAAAAATATGTACATAGCATGAACAATTTTTATAATCATAAAGTGCCAGATATGAAACAGAATTCGGAAATCATGGCTCTTTAGTCTCTTTTCCGCTCGGATTCCCTTTGCCTCACTTGTTCAGATTTTCCAAACAAGTTTCTCTGGGTCTACCCCTGCCTTGTTTGCCTTCTATTTATCCAGTGAAGGCAAGATATTCAAAGCCTTTATGTAGATTCAAGTGTCTTAGAAACTGAATTCATTGTCCCTTCGTCATTGTTCTTATTAGTGAGTCAAGAACTTAGCCTGACTAAGGTGTTCAAGGACTTGTGTCAAGGGAATTAAAAGCAACTGCCAATATTAGCAAATAATTCTTTTTTTGTTTGAATTGTTTTTAAGCACCCATCAACACAATGTTGGACACTGCCTGTCAGGGCCAACCCGGGCTAAGGGGGATGCAACATCCCAGCAGAAAGACCAAGATACTCTATAAAATTTGCCATCCCCACTCAGGAATCGAACTCAGGCCCCGTGCATGCGACTGTCAAGCGCCTTAACCGCTTCACCGCAGACGCCAGAGCAAGTACTTAAGGGCATCAAATTCCCCCCCCCCCCTTTCATACCCGTGGCACATACAGAACAGTAATGTCACGATCGTTATCGATCTTTTAAAAATCTCACTTTCGTCACGTCACATCTTTCTTGTGACGTACTTTTGGTCTACATTATTGCCCTCGGCTAAAAAAACATAATCCTCGGGCTTGACCTTTAAGTTCTATGTAACATCCAATTTATTGTGTTCGTCATTATTTAAAAAAAAAAATAGCTGATATAAGTTGTATAGTCTTTAAAAGGAGAGCACGAGGAAAATCCTGACTAGCATAATGGTTATAAATCCCCCCCCCCCCTTTCCACACACACACACAGAGAGAGAGAGAGAGAGAGAGAGAGAGAGAGAGAGAGAGAGAGAGAGAGAGAGAGACAGACAGACAGACAGACAGACAGACAGACAGACAGACAGACAGACAGACAGACAGACAGACAGACAGACAGACAGACAGACAGAGACAGACAGACAGACAGACAGAGAAGACGCACAGAAAGAAACACAAAAAGCGCCTATTATTTTGGCCTCCTACCACGCGGCAGTTAAATGCGATACTCAACTTTTTTCACAAGTTTACATTAGAAATAAAGACGCTGATGAGAGAGGACGAGCAGCAGTGCACCTATTCTCCCTGCTACAAATTAGTAACTATACAAAAAACAAAGGCCTACTCATAAACACAACCCAACAATAAGATCTAGAGTTAAGTTTTAGTCAGTTTCACGGCACATGTTGATTTATTGCACAACAATTATAACATACAATTGGTACTGAATATAAGAGTGATAATACAGAACAACATACAATGATAAGAAAGAGGAGGGAGAGAGAATAATAATAGATGTTTGATAGAAAAAAAAGGAGCAAACCACCCCAGAGCGCCCACCAACCACCAACTCACTAAATGATCTAGGTAGCACTGAAAAGCATTGATTTGCCGTCTTCATCGTCTGCTCTCTTTTTCTGGTGAAAAGTTTTTCTTTTTCTTTTTGACGGACTTTTCCCCCAAAATAAAAGTCAGTCCCACATGGGAGGAACTCGACACAGTATCGGCGGCATGCCAGAAACAACAATTAGGACATAAATACAACTGAAAACGAGAATAAACGAGCATAAACGAAACGAAAGAACTTAAGAGCACCAATGTACCACCTGCTGGAGACAGCAGAACTCATGAGATGAAGAGTTATAGTTTTACTAACGTTTGACGGAACTCCAAGGGACACAAACGGGTATTTTGAGCGCCGAGGAATAGATTTGTTACGAGAGAGTAACATACAAAGAAAAGAAAGAGGGGAGATAAAGACGATAATATATGATAGGAAAAGCGGAGCAAACCCACCAGAGCACCCGCTAACCACCCACACAGACGGATAAGGGGCAGGGCAGAGCTAAAGAGGCAAAGAGGCAGAGCAAGAAGAAGATAACACCATGGGATTTGTATTTATAAAAGACATTCTCTCAGCTTGAAGACAGAAGTAATAAACAAAAAACACAATATTATTAATAATATATTGTGCCTTCTGTAGACTAGACAACCTGAGGCATGTAGGAAGTAGTAAATCTGACATAAGACTAGCCCATCGATATATTATGGGAAACTCCTCTATACCCGAAAGAGAATATTAATAATAAAATAGGATGTTGTACCAAAAAAAAAAAAATAATAACATGAAATCAACAGAACTCAAACAAACAAAAGCTAAACAAAAGAAAACCACAACAGCAATAAATAAAGATTCATTTACGAGTTACAGTACATAGCTGCCAACTTTTCAAAACCAAACACGTTGTCCCCGCTTCCAATACATTCAAACAAATCAAAGTGGACGGGCTGCAAAAGATCCTCTGGCTGACTCATTGGCCTCGTTCTCATTACTTTACTATTGGCAAATCCGTCCTTGAAAGTGCCATAATTGTTCTTCAGCATGGGGGGAGAACAATACTAGAAAACAGAATACCTATGTTTCGATGCCAAAACAAGACTTCCGTACTCAAATCCTCAAAATCTTAATAAATACGGGGGGGGGGGTGTTGTTGTTTTAGACTGTTGTTTTCCTTACTGGTTGGCAGCCATGCGTTTACACAGACTTTAAGGGCTACATCATCAATTAAAAATAAAAAAACCCACAACAAAACACAACAAAAAATACCAAAAATAAAGAGTGAACTAAACAAAACTGGAACAAAGACAAAAACAATAATCCACTTACACTGACTTTTGGGGCAAGGCCAAGTCGGATATCGTTGACCTGTGAGCACTCCAACACTTGACCCTCCTGTGAAAGAGACAAATAAATAAATGATTAGTTTAAGTAAAGAAAAGTACATTGACAATAATAATCATTGGCATTCAGTGTAAGGGAAAGTATTTTGTTTATTTCAGTATGTGTTTTACAGCACTGACTTGCAACACAATACGGCCATATACGTACCGAAGATAAAGGGGAGTGTGTGGTGTGTGTGTGTGTGTGTGGG